ATTTAAAAGATTTGGTTCTCTAATTATAAATTTTCTATAGTTTTTAGTACTGATGACTTGATCTTGGATGGCATTTATAAAACCTTCTGTTTCGGCAAATAATGTGCCTATTGTTAAATATTTATTTGATGCTGATATATCTATATGTTGTTGGCATAGGTCATTAGCATGTCTACCATGTAATTCCTTTTGTTTCCATTGTTTTCTTTTTTCTTTTTCTTGATCAATTTTATTATATGTCTCTTGAGTTTGGTTTGCGGATATTTATTATTATTATTATTATTATTATTTTTTATATAAGTAGAAAGTATGTATTTATTAAACATTGAATCATTATTATTACCTACATAATTTTAAAACAATTTTATGGTGATTTTTGAAAGTAGAACATAGAAAAATAAAGAGACTTAGCTTTCCATTGACGTCCGTGGAGTTGGGGGTTGATATTTTTTTTTTACATAAAGGTTAAATTATTATAAGCACACAAACAGTTTCAACATGCGGAAACGCGTATTTTTTGAGAAAAAAAAAATTGAAAATCATTACCGTAAAACTGACGCTATTTTGTATTGTCATTGTCATCGTCAATAGATCAGTCGATTCTTTCTGAAGAAGATGTTTTCGAAGAATTAATTAAAGCAATACAATAATGTGTATAAAATTGATTAATAAATTATGTCAAAGAATCGAATTGATTGATCCCGACTCCACTTGGTGCTTGGGCTTGCAACTTGCAACTTGCCTTCGGCGACCAACAAGCCCAGGCTGCGGAGGCGAGGAGGGATGCCTGCGATTTGTTACGCAAAGGCGTAGAGAATGGTCTTCCCGCAGCGCCGGAGACGTTGCAGTCTCAAAATAAAAACAGAGGGTGACACAGTAGCGGAGAGGGCTGCACACTGTTCGCAAGAACGATAATGCGCCGAACACGTCTAGACATGACTAATTTTCAACATTTACCGTGTCTTAGCGGTAAAAACTAAGATTTACTGAGTGAATGCTTGTAAAAGTCCGAAATAAACGAAAATTACTATAATAAATTACTATAAAAGAAACGCCGCTTATTTTATAGTAATTTTCTTTTCTTTATTAGATTATTTTAATGTGGATCTATTTAAAAATAATTTCTGTTACATATTGTGTTTATTGAATAAAGTTTCACATGAAAGATGCTATAATACATTTCTCCTACAAATAGTTGCAAGTTTGAAATTAATCACGACATTTTATACTTGAAACAACCTCTTTTTAAAAAAAATTTCCCAAATCTCTAATTAGTAATAATGTGTAAAATAATTGAAAATAAATAATGTGGTTTAAAGTAACTACATACAATGCGTGTTTTTTGAGACATTCATGAACATCCTACGAAGACGAACGCGTGATGAATATGTAACTTGTGCAAAACACCAAAAGTAATTTATTCATCTCCAGGGTGCGTATACTAACACTGCGAGAGTGCGAGATGAGTCTGTGTGGCTAGAAAATATCAATGAAGGTGTTCTATAAGAAGTTCCCACGCTCAAGGACTACAGTTCTAATATCTCCGCCAATTTTTAAGATATAAAAAAGTAAAAAAAAAAAACAGTTTTTCTCGTATTCTTTTGTAGACTTATTTGGCATGTAAAGTAAAAAACGTTTGTCAGACCCATTTCATGATAACACCAAAGTATGGAAACCAACAGCAACACTATACATCTCAGTGTAACATAGAGCAACACCATCTTACCTGTACCACGAAGAACCACCACAATGGACAGAACCACGATACTATCTTAGCACTACTACTACATAGAATGACTTAGCCGGAATCTTTCGCCCACGATGCCTACAGTGAAATTTATACTGCACAAACGAGTGGGTTTCTCGATATACCTTCAATTCTACCTCCACACCACTGATATGACGCTCCGCTAAAGTGACGGAACCATTTGCTCACTCTCGATCCAACCGGTATTTTATAGACACGCCGACAGGTATAGTTATTTTCTTTTCATTTGTCGACCGGCTGCCCATAAAAATAAGTTCTTAAAGAGTTCCGTTGGAAGTTGGAAGCCCTATAGAAGCGGTATGGCGACAAATACTTAGAGATCGTATTCAAGCATCTACATAAACACTCCAGCAATGGTCTGATGGGATTGAGTGGCTGATTCGTCAAATCTAAGTAACAATATTATAACTTAAAAATACATGAACTTAATTTGAAATCATGCCAATTATGTCATCACATGATATGATTTGCGGTGAAACCACAACGCTGATTTTTAGTAATGATTAAAGTCTTGGTAAATACAGACCCAAACCAATGGATTATGATATTTTCTTAAAAATAAAAATCAAGAATTCTTTACTCTGAAGCCATCCAAGCCAAGCCTGAAGATTAATATACTAAAGTCGCAATGGGACGGTCATATATCTCGAAGAACCGACAGCTGATGGCAGAAATAGGTTCTCATGTTGCAACCTCGTTTCGGTAAGTGGACTGTAGTGTAGGGCGGCTCTTCACTACTTTAAATGACGACTTATTATGACATCGATGGATGCTGGTGGCTCAGGTCTGTGTTTTGTGGTATTCCTTGGGGAAAAGCTTATGTTTAGCAATGTACTTGGAAGATGCTAATAATTGGCTTGAATGATAAGTGGTGGTGCATTCTCTTACGACGACAATACTCGGCCAAATTGTTAAATATTTTGCTTAAGTATTTTGGAAAGAAGTTCCTTATCGCACGGTATGAATTTGGCGGATGGGGGCTAGGCAAGAAAAAGTGTAAGATTTCTCCGTCACGACCCCCTTTCTATAGTGCGAGCGAGACGGAATAATATCCATTTCCCCTGCACTTTTTCTTATCTTGCCATAAAAGAAATATTATTTTAGATGACGCTTCATTTTAATAGACCTTAGTAATTCATTGATTTGTTTTTGGTTAATCAATAATATAATACGTTTATCAATAATAATATACTACGATAGAAACTTCGTTCCAACCGAGTGTTCCACGACACTCACGCATGTTTTTTTATTTATAGAACAAAGCCTAAGTCTCAGACTGGGGGCGACTAAATCTAGTCCAGTTCAATCCCCAGAAGACACAAGTTTGCGCGTTTACCGCTAAAAAGAATCCCTTTGTCGTATCTCCTCAGTTTAAAGGCACTCCCCTTGTTGCCTCAGCCAGTATCGGAACCCTCGGCTTCGACATATCGAGTGACATGCAGTTTCGTGGTCACTTGGAAGAGAAGGCCAAATTGGCCTCTAAAAAGCTTGGCGTGCTTAGCAGAGCGGGACAGTATTTCATGCGGGCATACCGCTTGCAACTTTACAAGGCGCAGGTTTGGCCGCACATGGAATACTGTTCCCATCTCTGGGCAGGGGCTCCCCAGTGCCAGCTCCTTCCACTTGACTGCATCCAGCGCAGAGCGGTTCGAGTCGTCGACGACCGAGTTCTTTCCGATCGGCTTGACTCACTGGCACTGCGTAGAGATGTTGCATCTCTGCGTATTATATCTACCACGGGGAGTGCTCTGAGGAATTGTTCGGACTAATTCCAGCCGCTCAATTTTACCATCGCACATCGCGACAAAACTCGCGATACCATCCATATCATCTGGATGATTGGCGGTCCACCACTGTGCGATTTAGAAGAAGTTTTCTCCCTCTCACAACTTCCATGTGGAATCGATTACCACCAGCGATTTTTCCGGACCGATACGACTTAGGGACCTTCAAGAAAAGAGCCTACTCCTTTTTAAAAGGCTGGCAACGCATCTGCGATTCCCCTGGTGTTGCAGTTGTTCATGGGCGGCGGTAGTCACTTACCACCAGGTGAGCCGCATGCTCGTTTGCCCCCTCTCCTATAAAAAAAAGGTTGACAAACGTGCACACAATCCATCTGATAGTTTGTGGCAAATAGACATCTATCCTCGCTATCACCCCTGAGGACTAAGATGGAAGGTCTCATTTCCAGTAAACAGGGTCTTCGGTTTTCTACACTCTCCATTTGTAACATTGAGAATCCTCTTTTGATTACCGTTAAACTCAGTTATTGGGTTTTTCTGACAAAAAATTCTCAGTAGCAGGCAGGAGTTAGGAAATTGTCGCTGTTACATCTCCGCGCCTCTGAAAGCACGCAAAGCCGTTGGTTCTGCGCCTGATATCTCTCCGGTCGTGTCGGATTACCGCCCCGGCATAAAATGAGAGTGAGGGAATAGAGAGTGCATCTGTGCTTGCGCGTACACTCGGGCACTATAATCCTGTCCTATGAAGATGGCTAGTCTCCGTTAAGACTGGCCGCCGGCGTGACTGGAATTTGGTGTGAAGGACATTATATAGCTGCAGTAATGCTCTCTCACGTATAGAATTCATAAGTAAACTAATTTATTGAAATAGATTACTTTAATAATTCAAGGCCCGGTGACATAAACCAGGACACAAAATTTTCATCTTCAAGTAAGGTAGTAACTCTAACGCCGATTATCTTGGCCTTTTCCTGGTATTATTTATATAATGCTTATAGTTCGCTGTATAACTCAGTTGCACCAATATACTTGGAGCCTCCGTCAGTCAGAGATTCTTCTAATTTCAGTGTTCTATATATTTTTTTTAATAATGACGGCGCCGCGGCCTTTGCCTCAAAAGGTTTTATTACCTGACTTTTAAAACTCATTTGCTTAAAAATGAAAAAAGTATTACTTATGAAATAATTCATTAGGATATATAACATAAAAGTTTCTTACGAAATATGCTTATCTCTTGTAGCGATGAATTGAAAGCGACAATAGAGACCTAATGATAAAAGGTCATTCATTATAATGATGTGTCTGCAGCACAGAATAACTTTAACTGCGTTTATTCTTCTTCCTTATCATCGAATAGCACAAATAAGCTATGACCTTACACTCAGTATCAGTATGTGATTGTCACTTTATTAAGTCGGACTCTAATATGGAATCTGTGTAATGTTAATTGATTTACGTATATAATAACTTATTTATTAAAATCGATAAAAATGTATAAATTTTGGAATAATAATTTGACTTACAATGGTGTCATTAATAAAACCTTACGGGGAAAGAAATTTGGTTTAAAAAATGTGATTGTGAAAAGATGTGTAACATCACACAATACAAATTTCAATAACCTTTTCCCAGAGAGAGTAGACTTTCCTAGTAGACACATTGGTCCTAGAGATCAAGATGTAGTTACCATGTTAGATTTACTTGGATACAAAGTTAGTAATATAATTAAATTTTACTTATTGTATAAAATAGTTCAATATGAACGCTGTTTAAAGTTTTTTTTTGTTTTAAATGTAGAGTTTGGACCAGTTGACGAATGACGCAGTGCCTAGAAAAATTCAACTACAAGGTCTCATGAAAATCGATGAACCTATAAGTAAGTATATAACATTAAGGTACAATCTTTTACGTCTTTTAAGTGACTTTATACAAATTTTACGCATGTGTTGTACCCACTTACATCCATATATTTGACTACCAGATATTAAATGCTACTTATATCACATTTATTCTTGTACAATTATTTATTCTGTGCTTATAAGAATCACAAAGTGGTGACGGCATAAGAGAATACATATATCACCCCATTTCATCCCTTGGGTATCGTTAGAGTTGACCTAGGGTCATGCCCAGATATTTTTTTGACTTACAATATTCATATCAGAAAAAAAATACCCATGACAGGAAATAATCCGCCCGCCAAGCGTGATATTAGTGGCAAATCGTGAGATCTACTATGGGTAATGCCCTTATCAAGTAGTAACTGCCATCGGTCTGAAATGAAGGATTATATGAGAATATTTACGTGGTAGAGCCATGCTGTAGCTATATTAATACTAGTTGTAGCACGAATGGTTTGGCTCGACCGGGGAAGGAATAGCAGCTTATCGCTGCCGTGTTTCGTATTGTGAGTGTAGAGAACCGGAGACCCATTTTACTGGAAAAGAGGCATTCCATCTTAGTCCTCGCGGCTGACAACGCTTCTGCATGTTGATTCGCAAACGAGGATAGATGTAGATGTCTATGGGCCACAGTAACCACTTACCATCAGGTGGACTGTGTTCTCGTTTGTCACCCTTATTCTATAAAAAAAGAATAAGAATAAAGAACTGCGCCTGTGTGATTTTCTGTAGTTCTTATCTAAAACCTATATCTATAACAACCGCTTATTAAAGTACCATGGACATAACTAGCTAGCAACCGGTTGACATGTCCAGCCAATTCTTGGATTTTCTTATTTTATTCTTAAATTGTTTTCCAGCAACAAACTAAGAAAAAAAAATGCAATTAATCATTGGTATATTTGATTTGTAGAACTGTTTTTTTAGCAACTATTTAGCTATAAATTCCAATGCAAATATCAATGGTTTCTGCTGACTTGATAACAAGCATTTTAAGCTAACTTGAAGTGATTAACAGGGATATCATTGCTATATTTTTTTCAAATAAAAAACGGGGACGAGTTAGATGTTTTCCTGGCCGCCTTTGACAGCGGCGATAACTTTCAGTTTAAGTACTGATTTACCGTGTGCTCGGGCGGTAAAGGAAACTTTCTGTGGAAATCAGCATGTATTAGAAATTTAGTATTTCGAGGACATGATGTGAAGTCCTTTCACATGCATTGGAGCATCGAGGCTAACGAATCGCTCCAGAAATCAGAGGAGACCTGTGCCCAGCTAAAGAACGCATAAATTCTGTAACATTTTTTTAATCCTAAAACATTTCCAGGTGAATATGACCTTATTGAGCGAGTTCGAAAAATTGCGGAGAAAAATCAAATATGGCGCTCATACATTGGAATGGGTTATCACAACTGCTGTGTCCCGCACACTATAATGCGTAATCTTTTTGAAAATCCAGGATGGTAATATATATTTTTATTTACACAAAATATTCATATATAGACCATGTTCTATAATCATTTCTATTGCAATTTTTTTAAATATTGATATTTTACAGGACTACACAATACACGCCTTATCAACCAGAGGTAGCTCAAGGTCGATTAGAAGGCCTTCTAAATTATCAGACTATGGTCAGCGACCTTACGGGTTTGGATGTCGCAAATGCATCCTTATTAGATGAAGGCACGGCTGCAGCAGAAGCTTTATCCCTTTGTCATAGGTAAGATAGATTTATAATGTATAATTGACTGTGCAACTTTTTCACTCGCTTTAGATTTGGTTGAACCATAGGTATATTATTATATCTCTTAAACACACGTAGTTTTCAAAATTATTGTAATGTAAGTTACTTAGATTTTTAAAGTGTGTCTTACTACATTACAATTGCAATCACGTTTCAGTTTCTAACATTTCCGTTTTCAGACATAACAAAAGAACAAAGTTCGTGGTATCAGAAAGGCTGCATCCGCAAACACTAGCGGTAGTTCAAACCCGTTTGGACGCTTTGGGTCTCGAAGTGAAAGTGGTTCCGGATGTGCGCAGCGCTGACTTTGCTCAAAGGGACATTTCAGCGGTTCTATTACAATGCCCTGACACCAGAGGATTAGTTTATGACTATTCAGCTCTATCAGCTGTAGCGCACGAACATGGGGTTTGTTATGGCCTTAGTTAATTAGAAAAATAGAACAAAAAATAATAAAAGTAATAGAAAGTAAATGAATGTATCGGTATTGCTAAGTGTTCGCTTGAAGCGCAGTAGACAGTAAAGATTAGAAGCAGATGTTTCTCTTGGCATTTTTTTTTTTACATAATTTCTAAATTGAAACATCTGACGTTCCAGAAAGCAGTATATATTATAAGCAGTAAAATTTAAGCTTTTTTAAAAACACCGTTGTCGTGTGATGGCTTTGTGAAAGAATCCTTTGCCTCATTTCATCTGGGTGTTTTTTTTAAATAATAATATGAAGACATAACATACACAGTTCATAAGTACAGTGCAACATAAATCTATATTAGATTTTTCTGCATACTGTTCGCCGTCTTTCGTGCGTAAACATTTATTGTCTATGGGAAATGCCAAAAAACCTTAATATTTCCGAAAGATACCAATATAACCAGCTAGATTACAACAGTTGTAAAATTAAAATGTTTAAAGGTGGTAGCTCCACGTTGCAGCTATATTATGGTTGTGGCACGAATGGGTCGGCTCGACCGTGGAAAGACCACTCTCTCACAGAATACCACCGTAAAATAGCAGCTCAATGCTGCTGAGTTTCGTATAGTGTAGTGAACCGGAGACCCTTTTTACTGTAAACGAGGCATTCCTTCGTAGTCCTCAGGGGTGACAACGCATCTGCATTTTGATTCTTAATCGAAGATAAATGTTGACGTCTATGGGCCACACGTCCGCTTACTACCATCAGGTTCTATATAAAAAATACCATGACCAGCGACGGCGGACGTCAAAAACGGAAGACGTCTGGCATTGCGATCGCCAATCCGCGTCCAATCTAACAAGAACCCATAAGTTATTTTTAGTATGTCTTATAGTCGCCTCTTACGACGCACACGAAATGACATACACTTGTTTTTATATTTTATTAATTTTCCTATTTTTTTATGTTTAGACGCTGGTTGTAGTTGCGACGGATCTTTTGGCAATGGCTTTGCTTCGTCCCCCAGCGGAATGTGGTGCTAACCTTGCAGTCGGCACTTCACAACGGTTAGGAGTTCCTCTAGGCTATGGAGGACCTCATGCTGGCTTTTTCGCAGCACAACACAGCTTGGTTCGATTAATGCCAGGACGTATGGTGGGAGTTACGAGGGATGCTTCTGGCAGAGACGCGTATAGGCAAGTGTTTTGTTTTAGTCATCATGAACAATTTTACAGACGGTTCTGATAAGCTAGTAGATATCTCAGCATTTGTTTTTCTACAAAAATAATTTAAGACGTATTTTGCCAAAAATAATATTCTTGTCAATCTTGAGACGACAAATATCAAGATAAAGTTGGAAAGTAAAATGTCACAGAATATCAGCGTAAAATAGCAGCTCAATGCTGCTGTGTTTCGTATGGTGAGTGTAGAGCCCGGAGACCTTTTTTAATGGATACGAGGCATTCCATCTTAGTCTCCAGGAGGGAACAATCACTTACCATCAGTCGGACTGTGTGCTCGCTTGTCACACTAATTCTATAAAAAATGTTATACATTACATTATACTATACATACTTAAATAAAGTTATATTACATTAAAAACAGAAATTTAAATCCTTTGATTTAACCAAACAAAAAAAAAAACAACTATTCTTTTTGTTTAGATTGGCTCTACAGACGAGAGAGCAGCACATTCGCCGTGATAAAGCAACTTCGAACATTTGCACGGCACAGGCCCTTTTAGCCAATATGTCTGCTATGTTCGCCGTGTATCACGGGCCGCAGGGATTAAGGGACATCGCAACTCGAGTTCATAACGCTACACTTGTGTTAGATCACGGTAAACTTACGATTCAATCATGCATATTTTAATATTTTGTGCCAAATCCAGCTCCACGGAACACGTAGAAAACGAGTATGAAATCCTCTAGGATAAGCACTATTGCATAATATGCAGTATGTAGTTGATGTCGAATGATATGAGCATAAGATATTCTTATTCTCCTAGAGCTTAATGGTGTAAAATGCCCTAAAGCATTATCAAGTTTGCCATTAAAAGACACACAAGGCAGGCCTGTCTCACTCCGCGCTTTAGGCATGAAAATATACAGGCTGCGCGGCCCCCTACAAGGGACTAATTGTGTGAGATTATGACGCGCGCCCTCAAGCTGACGCGCGCCTTACGTTAACAAAAAAAGTATTTTTCTCTTATAAGTAGTTAGGCACTTTTGATATTTATTTATGAGTTTTTATTCATGTATGGCCTCTCAAAAGCCAAAAGGTACTTCATATCATACGGGTGCTTAAATAACAATAGGAATGTCGACTTTTCATTCTTTACTGTTCCTAAGGATACCGAAACGTAAGATATTATTATTTACATGTAGATTTAGATAATTAGGTACCTAGTTACTGATGCACTTTAATAGCTATAGGTATGTCAAACTTAAAATAATTAGATTGAGGAAGAAGTAGCTTTGCTAATATGTTCGGCAGATAATCATCAATTCACCTGATAAGCATGTTGATTAAAATTATGAGGTTAATAAGAGGTTTATTATATAGACGTATTTTTAATCTGTATAAAATTAATTTTTTCCGCCAATGGTTTCCATTAACTTTTGGAAAATTACGTTTTAGAATGGGCCATCTTTCATTGATAAAAGTCATCACTAACTGTGTTTGAATTTTTCGTACAGGTATAAGAGAACGAGGTCACAAGCAATCCAATGAAGTTTACTTCGATACTCTTCACGTTGTACCTCATCCTGATCATGATGCTAATGCTATCAAAGCGCGAGCGCAAGAGAAAAAGATAAATCTACGATACTTCGACGATGGTGCCGTTGGAGTGGCATTAGATGAAACAACTACTATGGAAGATGTCGAAGATTTATTATGGATATTTGACTGCAAGAAAGTTAATGATGTGAGTACATGAATAGTTTTATATTCATTTAAGAGGTGTTATCATTTGTGTAGCAAAGTAACAATCAATGAGGTCAACAATATCAGAAGCAATAGAGATAGATGTTAAAAGGGTGTATGTATAGATTACCTTAAAATATTTTTTTTGAGTTTGTTCATAAGTTCAAGGTAACAACTAGAAAGTCTAAATAGTTATATTAAAATATTTTTCCCTATTTTCATTTAAATTTTTATAGGACTAAAACTATTTAAGTGGTAAATAAAACCTAATTAATAAAAAACAATAATTTAAATCACTTTAGCTGTTTTCGAGAATCCCGTTTAGTGGCGGTGTAAGAATTTTCACTACCCCATATCTTCCCGTGGGTATCGTAAGAGGCGCCAGAAGGAAAGTGAAGTAGGAGATGGTCAGCAGAATCTTTCCGATATAAATTACAATAAAAAACTGTGGTTACCAACCCGCTTGCGTGGTAAATATGGAAAATATCCTCCATGAGCAATGATACAAATAAACGGCCCCCAGTCCCGGGTGGCTCCGTTATTCCTGGCTACGGTGGCGACCATGGTAACGGCGGGGCAGGATGTACGTAGAATCTCCGGTGGAGGTTCGGTGCCAACTAAGACGACTCGACCTGGCAACATATAACGTACGCACCCTTAGGGCTGACGAGATCTGGAAGAAGAGGTAGACAAGTTGCGCAGGTATATTATACGATTATCTTAGATGCGAACAGAGGGGGTGGACACGATAATCCTCAAATCCGGCAATTTTTTTCTATCACCGGGAAGGCGACTATCTGTCCCAAGAAGATGTCGGATTTATCGTTCATAAGTCTCTCGTTAACAGCGTTGTAAAGATTGGGAGTGTGTCGACGAGAGTTGCATACCTTATACTCAGAATAACGAAACGGTATTTGTTGAAAGTCATACGACACATCACCTCGGCACATTTCGATGAGTCGGTGCAGTCAATGTATGTGGATATCTTTAGAGCCATGTATTCCTCCAAAACAGCTCTATAATAAGGTGTTAATGGGAGAATTCAACGCTAAACTAGGCACAAGAGAGAGCGGTGAGCTGAAGGTAGGCAAGATAGGACAACGGAACCCAAGAGGCCAGCTCTTTATGATGAACTCTTTCTTCCACTTTCTTTACGTAAATAAACTACATAATTAAATACATATATTTTTCTTTAACTTGTTTACGAAATAGCATATATTATTATTATGTTGTTGTTTCGAAATTAAAATAAATTTATTGTATTTATCGTAGTAATGATGAATTTCTTTTAACGTAACTGAAGTCATATTAATTTTTTTTATTGATGTTATGTCTACCATTAGAACTGGAAAATGTAGCGAGAAGTATAATATTTGCAATAGTTGAAGAAAAATATAATAATTGCTACAGCAATGATATGATAAATTTATTTATTTTACGAATATGAGTTATTCTAATATATAATATACTACCTGACCTGGTAGACGTTGTTCTGCCCTTTACGACGACCATTTGCTTCCCTAAAAAAAACTCCTGAGATTAGCAATAAAAAAATTGAGGGTCACTTATCGGGATAAAAACTATCCTATCTCTCAAAACTGCACACAGTGTGCAAAAATTCATTGAAATCAGTTCAGTAGTTTAGTAGTTCATCGCGGACAAACAACGTGACACGTAATTTTTATATATACAGATTATTACATTACTCCTAGACTCAAGCCGAGTCTAAGAGTAATGTAATAATCAAGTCTCTCAAGTCACAGAGTGAAGGTTCGTGAACGCAAGAGAACGTTTTGTTCTCGTTCGTATCCGGTGAGAACAAGGAGGGTGAGAATGACGTTGACAGGGCTGCGGCTTGGGTATTGTGTGTATTGGCCAAACATACTTAAAATGTTAAAATCAAAAATAATACTTAGAAAAGAAAAGAACAAGCTATGGTGGATAACATCGAGGCCTGACGATTCGACAAAAAATGAGATTGACTTCATTAACATCATAATATAATCATAAGCACTATGCTTAACAACCTCAATAGTGCCTCCCAAAGGATAGGTCTTAACACTTTCACTGTCTGGTTTAGCGACACAATAGTAAGATAATAGCAATTTCACTGTCCCGTGCACTACATATAGCAAACCTATATGTAATGCACGAGACAGTGAAAGGGTTAAGATGAACATGGACAAAACAAAGATCGTGTGTAACGTCCATGTCACACCTATGCTGATATTTGTTGTGAGCGCTAAGCTCGAAGTTGCTGACAAGAATGTTTACCTGGGATAAATAGCCCGACTAGGTAACTCCAACTTCGACGGAGAGGTCAATTGACAGATTCAATTCGGCTGGGCAGCGTTCGGGAGATTACGACACATCTTCTCGTCGCTCGAAGAACCGACAACCGATGGGGAAGAAAGGTTCTCTAGTGGCAGCCTCTTACCGGTAGACGAAGTGTAGGGCGGCCCCCCACTAGATGGAGTGACGACGTGTTAAGAAATGCAGCAAATCAATGGATGCAGGTGGCTCAGGACCGTGCTTTAAGGCATTCCTTGGGGGAGGCCTATGTTCAGTAGTGGACTTGTGAAGGGCTGTAATGATGGATGATGTTGATGATGTTTCCGGAAATTGGTAAACGTTACAGCTACTTAAAAATGCGCGCCCCAATACGTTGCGTGTCGCTCAGTCTCAATGTCGGTTGATCTTAGATTTTAAAGATTATGTTAAACAAGAAGTTTATGGCTTAAAATTTTTATTTTAAAAAAAGGGGAGAACAGAACAGAGAAAGTTAGTTTTATCGGAATAATAGCCGATGCACAATTAATTTTATAGGTTGATTGTTATGGAGTACTTTCTATTCGACTATTACGTACCTATTTTCTGATCTGTGTAGAAATCGCTATGTGCATTACCTTGCACAATTAATTTTTTCAATATGTTTACAGGTTACACAAATAGGCGATGTGACGACAAGAAGTGTATTGAAGGGCCCCTTCCGAAGAACATCGCCTTACTTAACGCATCCAGTATTTAATATGCATCACTCCGAAACAAGAATAGTGCGGTATATGAAGAGATTGGAAAACAAAGATATTTCACTCGTTCACTCAATGATACCACTGGTGAGAAAATGCTGCATCATTTAAACAATTTATTTGTAATGTAGTTGAAGTATAAGTTTAGTTTGGTTTTTAGGTAAGCGGGAACGATTGCCCATCATCTGAATTATTTGATTTTGTTCCTTAGTTGCTTTTAACGACGCTTGAACTTTTACTATATTTTATAGATTAAATAACTCCATAACCCTCTCAGAGGGGAAGCCTGTGCCCATCTGTGGGACTAATAAATTTTACTTAATTTTAGTCCCACTGCTGTCCCGGGATCTGTTACTTTACATCATTACATCATGTTTGCGTATAACAATTTTTTCCTAGATGATGAATTAAAATAATCTTCTTCACTTTAGTTCTCTTATTTGTTGATGAACACAGCAAAACATTTTACATAAATAATTCTAAATATTTTTTATTTTATTGGAATATATTAACCACTACGCAAGTATTTACTTGGGTTATTTAAGATAAAGAAAATGTTGCCAATTTTCTCGATTAAGTATTTTATAGATTATATAGACGAGGTTTGATGCTATTATACAAAATTAATTTAAGTTAGATATTTTTTATAATTTGCTCCCCTTGTTTACATGTAACAGGGTTCCTGCACAATGAAATTAAACTCTACGACCGAGATGATGCCATGTTCGTTCAGGCACTTCACGGATATTCATCCTTTCGCACCACTTGACCAGTGCCAAGGTTACCATACGCTGTTCGAAGAGCTCGCAAGGGATCTTTGCGCGATCACAGGTTACGACCGGGTTTCGTTCCAACCTAATAGGTATGCATAATTAATGGAAATAATTATATTTGCAAACGGTAATGCTACTAATTGGCAATGCCAACATGTTATGCGTAATGATTTTTAACTATCTCATTGGTCTAGTGGGCGTTCGCGTGAATGCTAGTTATTGTTCGAAAGCACGCCTCGGGCCAAGTTATTAGGTTTTTCTGTCGAGACATTCTCAGTAGCAACCCAGAGTCAGGAAGTTAGCGGAGTTTCACCCCGTGCCTCGGTGCCTGATTTCTCTCATTTTGGCTGTGACAGATACTTACCTTTTAAAAAAAATATAGAATAAGGGTGACACACGAGCACACAGTCCACCCGATGGTAAGTGGTTGCTGTGGCCCATAGACATCTACATCTATCTTTGCGAATTAAAATGCAGATGCGTTGTCAGCCGTGAAGACTAAGATAGAATGCCTCTTTTCCAGTTAAAAAAGGGATCTCCGGTTCTCTACACTCATCATACGAAACACAGCATCATTAAGCTGCTATTTTCCGCTGGTATTCTGTAAGAGGTCCTTCCCCGGTCGAGCCGACCCATTCGTGCTACAACTACACTATTAATATTTAATATAGCTGCAGCATATCTCTGCCACGCTGTATACCTTATGCTCGCATGGCTCACCACCAGCGCCCTTTTACATACTGTTGCTTAGATTTATTTGGGCCTATGGATGTGACAATCGGTAGGTGGAGAGAAAAAAGGTATGGTGTTTTGTTTAAATGCATGACAGTTAGAGCAGTTCATATTGAGCTAGTGCCTTCGCTTACTTCGGATGCTCTCTTAATGGCGTTGCGTCGTATGGTGGCAAGACGCGGAATATTCGGACAATTGCACCAACCTCAGAGGCGCTGATAAGGAACTGTAGAAGTGCATCCAGAACAAAAAAGACTTAAAACATGAAGCTATTAATATGGAGTGGCACTTCATATCGCTCGCCAGTCCCCATTGGGGTGGGCATAGGAACGTCTTATAAGGAGTGTGAAGATGTCACTCAAAGTCATCCTAAAATAACTAGCACCAAGAAAAGAAGTGTTAAGCACGTTCTTGTCGGAGGTGGAAAATACCGTTAACAGTCGTCCATTGATACATGTGTCGGTAGAGTCAGGTAGTATCGAATCCCTCACTCCTAATCGTTTCCTTCTTGGTACTTCATCAAGTCTCATGATTGGGGAGTTTGATAATACCGATTACTTCTTGCGGAAACAATGCCACAAAGCTCAGTTGCCAGATATGTACTAGTAAATGTGGATAAGGGAAATTTTACCTAATCTCATACCTCGGAATAACTGGCACCAGGAACAGAAACCGCTGCACGTTGGTGAGCTCGTTCTGGTGGCAGATCTGATTGTCCACGGAGCACATGGCCAAACGGACTCATTACCCAAGTGTTTCCGGACAAGAATCGTCGTGGCCGGTTGGAAGATGTAAAAACTAAGACTGGAACTTAACGGAGATCTGTGGCTCGCGTCGCGCCAATTACTTTAGAGGCTAATTTTGGGCGGTTATTTGTAAGACGCTGCTGCCCATCTCGTAATTTTTTCCCTCTGTCTTCTCTTACGACACCCACGGGATGATTTGGATTTTGAATTATCATAGTGAGAACTATTTTTTTAGTTTTTCTTTTTATATGGCTTATAGATATTTATATATTATATTATGTTATTTTTAATAATCTATTTACAATACAACTTTTATTTACACAAAGAAATGGACGGCTTGTAACTTAAATACTTATTTAATTATGGTTATAGTGGTGCGCAAGGTGAGTACGCCGGTCTAAGGACGATTAAGCGGTACCATGAATTCCGCGGCGACGCCGGGCGGAATATCTGCCTGATCCCTGTGAGCGCTCATGGCACGAACCCCGCCTCCGCGCACATGGCCGGTATGCGAGTCTGCGCCGTGCGGGTCAAGCCCTCCGGAGATATCGACATGGAGCACCTTAAAGATCTGGTAAGCATATCATCTCTATCATGGCAGCCCCACACAAGTCGTCTGTTGACTTCATCCAAAGTTTTATACATAATGGTGCAGCTATATTATGGTTGTACCAAGAATGGTTCGTTTCGACCGCAGGGGTACCACGCTCTCACAGAATACTAGCCTAAAGTAGTAGCTTAATGCTGCTGTGTTACGTATGGTGAGTGTAGGGAGACCATTTTTACTGGAAACGAGGCATTCCGTTTTAGACCAAGGGGATGACAACGTATTTGCTTTTTGATTCTTAAGCGAGGATAGATGTAGATTCCTATGGGCTATCCACTTTCCATCAGGTGGACTGTGTGCTCGTTTGTCAACCTTATTCTGTTTAAAAAGTAATAATAAAATGTTGCGATACATAAGGTGTTAACACATTATTTCTAACCTTATTGTTAGTTGAACTCGATGAATTGAAAAAATAAAGGAATAATCAGTTTAAAAAAAACATTTCCCCCTAAAAAATGACGATTTTTAATCATCAGCCACTGCTCGCCATATGAGGAAGCTCAAGGTCGCTCCGCGAGAACCGACATAGCCCAAAAGATTAGTAAACTGAAGTGGCAATGGGCCGGCCATGTAGCTCCAAGAACCGACAACCGATGGGGAAGAAAGGTTCTGTAGTGGCAGACTCGTACCGACAGGCGAAGTGTAGGGCGTCCCCCCACTAGATGGAGTGACGACCTGGTAAGACATGCAGGAAGTCAATGGATTCAGGTGGCTCGGGACCGTGCTTTGTGGCATTACTTGGGGGAGGTCTATTCTTAGCAGTGGACTTTTGAAGGGCCCTTCAAATGCAATGATGATGATTGTGATGAGTTAATGGTCCGACTGACAATTTTTCCAAGAATACCTCAGTTTTTATAAAAAAATATTTAAAAAAATTGTATATATATTTTTTTATCTGCCTGGTCAGCTAGACGTTGTTCTGCTATTTTAGATGACCCTTCATATAAAAAAAAATCCTTAAATTCGTAATAAAAAAAATATTGAGGGTCACTTATCAGGATAAAAACTATCCTATCTCTCAAGTTGGACCAAACAACACAGAGTGTGCAAAATTTATTGAAATCAGTTCATTAGTTTAGGAGTTCATCGCGAAGAAACAACGTGACACCTAATTTTTATATATAAAGATAGTGTATATAAAATTTGAATTGTGGGCGTTATGAAATTTTGAGGCGTTGTTAAGGCGACTGTAAAATTGCCAGAAAATCTTACTAGCTTCCGGTAGACGGCGGTGTAACCATATCGTTTAATCTAGACGTAGAATGCCCACCCATCCACCGTTTATTATAACGTGGTAAAGCTCTAGTAGTTCAGTGCCTTGCCTAGAAAATTTCTTAGGTATGCGAGCGAGTAAGATTCGATCTCTGCGGGCACTACAATAATTGTTAGGTAGCCACAGTTTTGATGATGCTTAAATTTAAAATCTTTCAAGTATAAGTGTCCCACTATTAAAATTGAAACAGTGAGGCGAATTATTCCAACTAGATATTCTCTCGAGAGTTAATGTGTATGTTACGGAGCAAGTAATTCATCAGGTCACTATTTATAATGCCCGGGGATATGAATAATGACAAATCAAATCGGGCTATGTAATTAATACTGATTTAAACTTCATTATTTATCACATTGTTTGGTCATTATATATATTTCTACTTAACTGTTGGGCAATTTGATAAAACCTAACCTACCTTAACCATGTTAATCACTTTTAAGACAATAAATTAATAATGTACCAAATCTTTAATTAACAAGTATATAAAAATGTGTAGGAAAGTAGTGGCTCCATTGCAGTTTTTTGCTGCTCTTTGCGTTAGAAAGAAAAAATACCTTTGATGAAAAACTTTATTCCCATTGTGCTTAAGTGAAATAAAAACCTAATCTAACCTATCTCTATCTCTTTATTACTCTGCTCTAGAAGTAACGGAATTTATTTATAAAGCCCGGTCAATTTAATTATTTCAATATTTTTTATCACATTGCCTCCTTATCCTGGGTATTATTCATATTGCCCGGGCAGTATGAATAATGCGCTACTAATTATTTGGTCCATTACATACATCAGTAGCCGATGGGATTCAGACTGGTATCCATATTGTTACAGGTAGAAGAGCACAGTGAGAAACTGTCGTGTCTAATGCTGACGTATCCGAGTACGTTCGGCGTATACGAGGAGCGGGCGGCGGACGTGTGCGCGATGGTGCACGCACACGGCGGGCAGGTGTACCTCGACGGAGCCAATATGAACGCACAGGTACGCTCGCATTTTCATATGTTTTTATTTTTAAATAATAACGAATAATAAATGTTGTGATTAAAACCACGATTAACTATCAGAGCTATTATTAGTATTAGGGTGTATTACTAAACTTTAATTTAGGAACTTACTAAGGCTATGTTTCTGCTTAGGAGTTCCTGTGTGTTAGTACCACCGTCATACTTTTATGCTGCCAAGCAGCACTACGTCCACACTTAGTTCCTTTACATTAATGATACTTCAAACAAGTGTACGCGATAACATATTATTCATTTGTTTTTTCACTTTGAGGCAAGTCCATGAAATTCTGATAAATGTACAAAGCCTTTATTGTGTGGTAAAAGTCCATGAAGGTGATAAAAAATACGTGCTTCATTCAACAAAGATTTTGTAGACTATATTATGATTTTACTCTTGTTTATATCTATGGTCTTTGCACAAAAATTAAAAGCATATTTTTTGCATTAAAATATACTAACTACTTTTCCCATTTTATTTAATTTTGTACTTTTCGCATTTTATTGATGGTTCATTAACTGATGCCTTTGATATGTTATATCTAAATCAGTCGATATAACATATCAAATTTTATTATTAATTTAATTAGTCGAACCATTGTCCTTTAATGTAGATTAACTTTTCCCATTTTAATAGAAGTCCATTGCTATATAAAACTTAGGGATGAAAATCGTTGCATTCTTTAAAGGCGTTTTTAGCGTTTTTAATATATTATACTCTTTGTAGATATATGTGGTGTGCACGATGGAGTCAAATTTCGAAAACAATGTAAAATTTTCATAAATGTAGAAAAGTGAGGATTTGAATTTTGTTATGGCTTTTTTTCCGGCGTATTTCCGACTGGTTATTTTTGCTTTTACATAATCATCTGTTAGAAGTCGTTAATTGTGTACATTATATTCCTTTTCCACGAACTAAGAAGTATTTGCTGCATTCGTTTCTCTCGACACATAATAACTTCCTCTAGACTACCTATCTGTGCAGGACAGGGTTATAGTGCCCAAGTGTACGCGCAAGCACAGGTGCACTTTTTCTTCCCTCACGCACTTAGTAAGATAAGACGGTAATCCGACACGACCGGAGAGAGATCAAGCGCAGAACCAATGGATTTACGCGCCTTCTGAGGTACATGGTTGAAACATCGTCAACTTTCTGACTACGGGCCGCTACTGAGAATTTCTGGACAGATATCCTTAATAACTGATTTTGGCCCGACCCGAGACTAGAATAAAATAGAATAGAATAATTTTTGTTTGAATATAGATTACAAGTACGTAATTCTTATTAAAAGTAATTTTTTACATTTACCACTGGTTCAGAAAAAAAACCTCTGTCCTGGGAAGAACCAGCGAGAAACCAGCGGTATTTTGTTTTCAAAGTAAATTATACAGTAAGAAAGGTTGTAAAAACTGTTAATAACCCGCAACTTTTAAACGAGGTCCCGGGTATCGAATGTTGCCGGTAGAAAAGTGGTAGATGCAGTTTAAAGGACATACAATTGGCAAGGAGTTTGGCGATCGCAATACGTCCTGTTCTTCCATCCTTGAAATTATTCCCCATTGCCGGTCTGTGTATTTTTGAAGTTTATCTACCATATGTCGGAATTCATTAGATCTTTCTGGAATTTCCCATAATTGTGATGTCCACACGATGACATAGGTGGTAGATTTACTTACGCCACTAGCACACGACACATGATTCCATATAAATTTCAACTATATCTGATGATAATTGAAATTATAATACATAATAATAAATGCTTTATTTTGGACCTGACTCACGAGGTGACTCACATGTGGGGTGGTTCGCCGGCCTAAAATTATTCCTGTGGTAGTTTCTACGAACGGGCTAATCCAAGTCAGCCTTTCGGGTCATCTGAGATAACTGGGACTCCGTGGCAGACCGCTCAATTGCAAAAGACTGTGCTCCTTGATCCCGCCTGCATCGTCCGCCGGTTTCTTTCCCTTTCCCCCTAACCCTTGGCCGTTTGGTCTCCCCTGCCGAGGGCTTCCATCTGGTTGGGTTTTTATTTATGTATGTATTTTTATGTTATTGATATTTATGTATATTTATCATTTTCATTTATATATTTATACAGCTCAACCAGATGAGAAAACTATATAAATGCTTTATTTCATAACTTTAAAAAATAAATATAAAGTCCCTGGCTCCTAATGTAGGTGGCTTATAATTTTATTAAATAATTGAGTAGTAAGATGTACGAGTTGGTGGTTTATATTTTTATTAAATAATTGAGTAGTAAGTACAGATCAAGTGATTATGTAATCTAAAATATAACTAAAGTCAACGGGTATGTTAATAAATACATAAATGATGACTTTAATTTACTTTTCTGAAGGTTGGGTTATGTCGGCCGGGTGACTACGGAAGTGACGTGTCCCATTTGAACCTGCATAAAACGTTCTGCATCCCTCATGGCGGAGGAGGGCCAGGAATGGGGCCCATTGGCGTGTAAGAATTTTTTTTAAATGAATATAATTAGAAGGGTTATAGAAGCCATCTGCAAGAAAGATGTCCTTATAAAGGCGGGACGATACAAAATATGTGTTTATATTATACGACTATAAAGCGCAAGTCCGGTCGAACATGGAGTATGGCTCCCATATTATCTGGGCTGGGCTGGTGCTGTAAAATGACACCTAGCGGCTTTGGACTCGATGGTAAGGCGTGCTAAGAGGCTTTTTAGTAATCTCAATATAGTTCAAATCAATCTAGCCTGTCTCGAGCAGAGGCCCAAAGTATCCAGCCTTTCGGTGTTTTAAAGGATGCATTTCGGAGAGTGTGCGCAAGAATTGTATTATTTATTCCTCCCTCTGCTTTCCATTTTTGGACAACCAAAGGCCCGGCTGAACTCCAACACATTGTTGTCGACATACCAGGCATTTGAAACAAACGGTTTGCTTCGTCGTTCATAATGCGTACCCATAGATTTAGTAACTAACTAATGCGTACTTACAGCAAAGGAGTTGAAAAACTCACCAAAATCTGTCTTTCCATCCAATTACAACGTGGGTGCCTTCTGGGCAAGAGTGGATAGGCTTTTGTTAAGCTAAGTCAGTGCGCCTTACCATCATCGGCTGCATCACCACCATGGAGCAAAATCACCACTTACCATTAGGTAGGATAGAAGTTAGGCACTGGCTTATAATAGTTGAAAAATATAAAGTCTAGTTTGAGCAAGAATTTTTTAATTCTTGCTCAACTATACTTGGTGACTGATAATATGACGTGAACAACTTTTTAGTTAACTACTTAAGAATGCAGTAAATGCCCTATTCGTAGTACCACAATACCATATTCTTAGTTTATACACAGAAGCGTTCAAAAATAGCCGTGTAAAATATGAAGATATAGGGACTATTCATTATAAACAGATATTGTTTATCCCGAAATCAACACTTTGTGTTTCGCACAAATACATATCTCCACTGACTGGGTATTGAACCTAGGTGAGTGACTGGCGGCGTTCATATATTCTGAACAATAGCTGAACGTGAAAAATTTTAACATGGCAGAGCAATGCTGCTATATTATGGTTGTAGAATGAATGTAAGTACAAAAAAACGATTGACAAGGTTTAAGAGTTATTTTTATTTATTTATTTGTGATTAGAGGTAAAAAGTAAATTTTCGAGAAAAGCTATTGCTTATTTATATACACTTGATTATTTATTGCTTATTTATACTTAACTACTTGTTTTTCCCGTAGCGCTGCTCGAAAAAATACATAATTAGTGTTCCACGACGAATTTCAAGTTCAACCTCGTTGTCAGTCAGTGTGTCTGTTTGTCTCAAACGTTCATATCAGAGGCTTCTTTCTTTTTTACAGTTTTAATATAAAATTTATTAATAACACGTGTAACTAACTACAGCGCTACCTATCAGGCACATATATTGTGATTTATTTTTAGCACTAAGCTACTATATAATTTTATTGTGAATATTAGTAATTTTGGTCCACAAATATAGAGTTTCTCAACTACTTGAATAATGTACCACTTTTCTGAACCTAGAATAACCATTGTAACAATAAATCATTGCGTTGACGTAACAAATATATGGTGTAAATATTACTTCATCGGTCAATTCGTTCAGAAGTTACACGATCACTAAGAGACGTACGGACGATTATACATATAAAGATATATTAAAACGTTCTCTGTCTGGTTTCCAGACACAATTGTAAGACAATAGCAATGACCCATATGTGGGTCAGGGGATAACGAAAATATTAAAATAACTTTAATAACTACATATCAGTTCGAAACTATATACTAAAAATAAATAATAACATTTCAGTAAAGCTCATCTTGCACCATTCCTGCCATCGCATCCTGTGGTAGACCCTTTGGCTGATTTGGGTGACGCAGCGCATAGTTTTGGTTCAGTTAGTGCTGCTCCATTTGGGTCTTCCGCCATTTTGCCAATCTCTTGGGCGTATATAAAAGTAAGTATAATGTATCTGTGTGTAAAAAATATACATCTATAATAAATTCAATAATATTCCCATGAATAAATAGTTTACCTTTATTAATCCATACTAATTTTCTTGCCGGCGATGGTCGATATTAACCATCAGGTGTCGCACGCACGTTTGTACTCTCCCCTTCTGCCTTAATCGTCACATTTGGCACCTTTAACAACTTTGACGGTTTGGATCTTGGTTTGGATATTTTACGACTGACGTAATGGGACGGCTATACGAGTATACGCCAGTATATTGTAAGTTTCATGTATTCGTAGTTATACCGTCATCGGGAAGCAATAAAATCTGTTTGGAATTTCTCTTTGTCGACTTATACGAAAACCCCGTCTCGAAATAGGGTGATGAATTCTTTTACACCACCTCTATTATATTAATATTAATTATTATAATATAAAAATTGGAGTGTTGTTACTTAAAAAAATTAAAACAAAATTCTTAGCGCATTAGCTCACCGAGTATTTACTATCTCGGCGTTCGATTTCCGCACTGATCAAGTATTTGCATGGTCTAAAAATTATTGTTCTGGGTCTGAGCGTGTGTCCATGTGTCATTTATATCACGTGTCCCAGAAGTCAAGCCGAAAACGGGCAATAGGCCAAGTCGTGACAGTTACTACAAAAATATAAAAAGTCATGGTCATATACTTACCTATCAAATTATAAGGATTCAAAAATAAATCTCAAAAACTGACACCCAACGATCTTTCAAGTTATGTGACTACAAATATTAACTTTTCGTCAGTTTTCTTTCTGTGATGTAACCATAAATAGCTCTTCTGTAAATTACAGTTAAAAGCTAAAACATAACAGCCTCAGTTTTAAATAAAATCTTGGATTTTTGCCCAACATTGAATTCACAATAATTACATCACCCAACTTAACCCAACTGTACTGTAAGAAAATATGCACTACACTATTTTGGCAAGTGACTTTAGCATGTTTTAGGGATGTAATCCAGCGTCTAAACAGAGGTGAACTTGCTTGTTGCCATCTCTAGAGACGGCAAATGTAATTAAAAATTTTATTTGACCTTCAACGTCCTTGGAGGACGGGCGCGCGCTCCTATCCGTAGTTGGAGCGCGTGGATTACATCTGTTTTGCGAGCAGATTACATCTTACCAAAGAAATTTGTGCTGTGGCAGGCAGTATACGTGCGCACCCGCACGTATACGGTTGCAAAATGTCATCCATCGACCAGCAAAGCGAACGCGTATTTATAAGTGAATTAATCGATTTAAATAAAACTAATTTTACGGATTTTATCTCGTATATTAACTTATTTTATATTCCCGACGTTTCGAGCACTTTCCGGCACCCATGGTCACGGGGTGAGACTGAGGTGTATGACGTCCCAATGTCATAGTTAACCACGGCTAGCTCCAGATTAAAAATTATTAATTTTTGTTACGATCTACGCATCGCATCTGAATTAATCGATCTCTATAGAAATTTACCATGCTTATGGGATACAATAATATACAAAAATTTCTTTGGCCTTTAACCAGCGCTTCATCCACTTTCTTTTCTTTCCTTGTTTTCCATCTTTAATTGCGAACAAAAGTGCTAAAGCAAGGCCCACGAACATTTTAGGAGCCATTTCTACAACTCCTCCAATCATACGCGAGCGCGAATTATAGTGAAGTTTAACCGTGTTGGCGCTTGGTTGCGATCTATGTAACCAAAACACAATCCGCGAATGGAAATGAAGCTCCCACCAAGGTCACCTCTGTTGCGATGCTGGATTACATCCGTCTGGAACATGCTTAAAAGATGGCGTGTTTAGTCTGGGTTTCAAAATGGTATGACACTTACTAATTGTTACTTCTTGATTGAGGAAAAACATTTATTTAATGAAGCCGGATTTCATACAAGTTCGATTGAGATGAAGAGTGACGTTATTTTGACTAGTGTGAGCGAGACAGGTGGTGACGCTACTTTGTTAAGTGTGAGCGAGATAGATAGTGACAACCTGTATATTCAAAACTCTACCATGTTATGGGAGAAATTGCCAGTGTGGGAGTAACAATTTTAAATTTGGCATACAAACCGTCTGTTAAAAATTAGGTATTTTTATCGCGGGGAAAATAGACATGAAGACGTTTGTTTCCAAGTGGGTAGAGCTGCGGGCAGAAATTAGTTTTATAATATATTCAACAACATTATTAAATATAATGACTGCGACTTATTTATAAATTCAGATGATGGGGCCGAAGGGATTGAAGCGGGCGACGCAAGTAGCCATTTTAAATGCCAACTACATGTCAAAAAGACTGGAAGGTCACTACAAGACATTATACAAAGGCGAGAGGGGTCTTGTTGCGCATGAATTTATTATTGACGTGCGGGACCTTAAAAAGAGCGCAAACATTGAGCCTGGCGATATTGCAAAGCGACTCATGGATTATGGTTTGTATTTTATACTTGTATAATATATATTATATATTAAGATATATATAAAATGGATGTTGGTATATCTGTTTGCAATTAAAAGACTTCGACATCGTTTGATCGATCACCCTGAAAGTCGGCACATATAATATGTATTTTTCATGAAGAAGGTTTTTTTGCTATATTTTTATTCACTTTGTTGTAAGTCACTACTAGATGGCGTAGACATCTACTTTTCTACGGACTACAAAAAGGAGCCGGTACTCAATTCGACTGTGTTTTATGTGTGTTACCTCATAACTTTTTACTGGGTGAACCGATTTCGTTGATTCTTTTTTTTATTTGAAAACTGGTACTTCTCGTGTGGTCCGATATGAATTTGATCAAGGTCAGACTAATAGTTTTTGAGTTATTCTTAATAACGTATATTGAAGTCGGATGTACAAAATTTTTAATTTCAAATTATATAGCCATTAAAATTGGTATACACAGACAGGACAACGTCTGCCGAGTATCTATAGTATAATATATACTTACTACTTAGTAATTATTATAAGATCTCTAGTGAAGATAGTACTGTAAATTTATAATTTATTTTCCAATTCTAGTCAATTTGTGCCTTCATACAGATCTGAAAATCTCTTTGAAAATGATTAGTTCCATTATTACAAAATCTACTTTGGGATGTATGGGCGGATCTACTATTTTTTTTAAATATCACCTTACCTGCACATGGTTCTCTCTCCTATCAGTCTACAGACTAATACATGATGGGGAGCTGCATTACCAGAAGCTGTTTAAAGCGAAAAAGCAGTGTAAGCGAATCCATCAGCCTACTTCCTTATTGTAACATTCCCAGTGGACTATGGGAAAGGCTAGAAAAATTTCATGGCTTCCTATGGGTGGTGGTGTAATTATCTCTTTACTCCAAACCGACACTAGCAGCAGCGTCAAAAGTGCGAGACGTCTGTCTGCGATAAGTGCCAACTAATTATTATAATCTATACTTAAAAATAAAATTGAAGTGTCTGTCTGTAATATCGAAATAACTGCCTTTTAAGAAGCTGAGGGGGTTATTTGAATGATATTAAGACACGAATAAAAAAAATTAAAACTTTTGTCTGTCTCTCTGACTAAACAACTGAGATCTAAAAATTGATAAAATAAATGATAATAATCTTAAATTTAAACAACGCCACATTAATACATATTAGAAACTACTCTACTTCTGATGTTAGAAACTATTCTCAAAATGATTTAAATAAAATAATGTTACTCGTATGAGAATTTACTCTAAAGCCACAAACTATATACTTACTTACTTACTTATCTTCACGCACAATCCCTGACGGGGTAGCCAGAGAGAACAGATCGCCAAGTGTCACGATCCTTACATATCTCTTTCGCTTCTTTCAGATTCATTATCTTCTTCATACATGCACGTCTAGGTATCCGAGTACTCTTGACCCTACCCTCTTCGAGCAATTTGCTCACATGGTCTTCGAAAGTTAGTCTCGGTCTACCTCGACACCTTTTAATATTAACTTTCGCGCTATATATTTTCTTCACCATTCGGTCTTCACTCATTCGCTCAACGTGCCCAAACCACCGAAGCACGCCCTTATCAATTTTTGTGATAAGGTCATCTTTCAAACCTGCCATATTGCGAATCTCTTCGTTTCGCTTTCGGTCGGCCATAGTAACGCCGCACATTTTACGAAGAGATCGCATCTCCACTGCATTCAACTTACTTTTATGCTTCTTCTGGCATACCCAGGTTACAAACTATATAGAAAAGCAAACACGGACCGATCTAACAATGGCTGCACAGCAGTGTTGCCATCCTCAATTTTTATTATTTTCTTTTATTATTTTACTCATTCCTAACACGCTCAGCGGCACGGAATCTTGGCCAAGCGGTTATCTCGCGATAGCAAAAGCTTTAAGTGTTTCTGATGAATGTTTGTTATGCAGGTATGTCAAAAAATGTTTGCTCTCAAGTTCAAGAGGGTAATTCATTATGTTTAAGTGCACCATGACGAATTCTTTAATTTTTAGTTGAATCGGGTCATTTGAGCGACTAAGTTCACATTTTAAATTTGTGTGTTGTGAAAAGTTTACTGTAAGGTTATTCAATTATTGTGATCTTGTGTCTTAATTCAATAACTAAAGGTGCTTTAAAGCCAATAAAAATGCCATTAACACCAGCACAAGTTGCACAAGCAGTAGCATTAATTGACCAAGGGCTGACACAGCGTGAAGTTGCTATTGTGCTTAACGTACCACGGTCCTCAATGCAGTATTCACTGAAACGATACCAGGAGACAGGACGCTACACCCGCAGGCCAGGCAGTGGGGGCGTAAGGTGCACATCGGCCCGGGACGATCGTTTTATTGTTATGGAGATTTTGAGAAACCGCTACCTGACCGCTGTTGAGATACGCCAGCGGCTCCAAATCGCAAGAGGCGTTAATGTTAGTGAGCGTACGGTGAGAAGACGAAAGGAGGAAGTGAATTTAAAAGCTCGTAGACCAGCACGAGGTCCAGAACTTCTCAGACAGCACCGAGTAGCCCGACTTCAGTTCGCAAGAGAACATGTCAATTGGACCCACGAGCAATGGGCTAGAGTGTTGTTCACAGATGAGTGTCGAATAGCTTTACGTGCTCCAGACGGTCGAGAACGAGTGTGGAGAAAAAGAGGAGAGAGGTTTCTACCCATTACCACCACCCAAACTGTGAGTTTCCATGGAGGCTCAATAATGGTATGGGGAGGTGTAAGTTCCGACGCACGTACAGAGTTGGTCATCGTCGATAATCGGCTTACAGCTACTCGATACATCGAGGAAGTTCTTCAGGAGCACGTAATTCCTTATTCGGGATTCATTGGACACGACCAATTCCTCCTCATGCACGATAATGCACGCCCGCACGTCGCACATTGTGTAGAGGAATATCTGGAAGAGGTTGGAATACAAAAATTACAGTGGCCAGCTCGTAGCCCGGACTTAAATCCAATTGAGCATGTATGGGGTATGTTCAAAAGAAAGATAAAGTCCAGCTCCAAACCGCCACAAACTCTAAATGAGCTCCGAAATGCAGCACTGGCCGCTTGGGACAGCATACCGCAAGTTGATGTCAGAAACATCATTCAAAGGATGCCAGATCGAATGCAAGCGGTTATCAGGGCTAGGGGAGGAAACACCCGATATTAAAACTGATAGACAATAAAGAAACAGACTTAATTTTTAACTTTGTAGTGTTTTTAAAGTGACAATGGAAAGATGTTAATTTTAGTGAAAACATGTTATCTTGAAAAGAAAAATTTCGGTGAAGTAAACATTAAATTTCTACGTTCTAAAACCATTAGAGACACTTATTGAATGCATCTACCCTTAATTTACTGTTAAAAAAACGTTTCAGTGCAAATAATCAGCAAATTCACGAGTGGCCAAGTTTCCGTGCCGGTGTAGATCTTACTCAGGCCATGTCGTGTCGGGTCGCCAGTATTAAAATATTTTTTTGAATACTCAAAAGGTTTTCATGCACCTACGATGTCGTGGCCCGTGCCCGGGACGCTGATGATCGAGCCCACTGAGTCTGAAGACTTACAGGAGTTGGAACGTTTCTGTGAAGCACTCATTTTGATTAGGAAAGAAATCAAGGATATAGAAGACGGCGTGATTGACAAGCGGTTGAATCCTCTTAAAGTAAGTTTTCACATTTGACCGATTTTCTACCATTGTTTTTTAACAAAGTATATTTGAACACAGTTATTGTTGAACAAAGTATTACTTTTAAATACTGCGTTTTTCTTTCGTCATTCTTTATTCTTTTAGCCTGTAATAGTTTCTCCTACTAGGACGTAGGAAAGATCCAAATGTTTAGGTAGATATTACTTGTGTTCGACGTTATATTATTTAAGTTCTGCACTTACGTTGAAGTTGTACGAGCTTGTACGTATGTTGTATGTGATACCGATCTGTGTTAGATGCACGCTATTTGAAACTAGGGCCCACGACTCTGAAGTCTGGATTTAAGTGGGTTGAAGCAACTAAGTAATGCGGCCATCATCATCATTATCATAATTACACATCATAAATTCACTGCTGAACTTAGAGCTCGCCCAGGGATTAGACAAAGCACGATCCAGAATAACCAGTATATATTAATTTCTACATCTCTTACCAGGTCGTAAATTCATCCAGTAGGGAGCCCTTTCACTTCACCGGCCAGTACGAATCTGTCACTCGAGAACCTTTCCTCATCGGTTGTCGGTTTTTAGAGCTTTATAGACAGCCCATTGCCACCGATTCGTTGTATCACTGATGATAAATTTAAAACGAACTAGTTAATAATAATAATTAATTTATAGATGGCGCCCCACACACAAGAAGAAGTAATAACAGAGGATTGGAATAGGCCGTACACAAGAGAGCAGGCTGCTTTTCCAGCTGTATGTATAGTTTTTAGAATCTAAAGGTTTTTATTTTTTTAAATAAGTTTATCTAACTGATGGTAAGTGAAATGCTGTGGCCTACAGGTGCCTTCAACTAAGAAACAAAATGCAAATTTGCCAAAATTTCATACGACAAAACGTTGGAATCATAATTTTTAGGCGCTAGTAGAACATACCTATCCGCTTTGCGCTTAAGGCACGGAATACCAGGAAAAACTATTCACAGACTTGGTTTAGTCACTCACAATACAAAACACAACAGTATTATGATGATATTTTATCCTGTCATTCCATGAGAACTTTGTTCTACCCACATCCATCGAGGACAGAGAAAACAATACAATTTAGCTACTGTAAAGACAGAGAAAATAAATAACTTAATAATTTAACATTATAATCATAATTGAAAAATAAAACTAAGGTAGATATGTATAAGAAGATTGGCGGACTTCAATATATAAAGCTATATGATATAGCTTATGTACGTTTTACTAATGGGCAAAGGATTCATCACTTATAATAGTGATTACCAATTTTATAGTCATTAGTGGAGATCGAAGTCGTACTACACGCGTACATAGAGCAACATGGGCCGCCCGCGGATCGGAGGAGAGTAGCCATACGCAGGCGTTCCCTTCTGTAAAAGTATAAGTCCACAATAAAACGAATTGCAGCCGCACTGCTCACTAGACTAAATCTAGTTGCACGGCTGAATCGACGTCCTAAAAAATGACGAATTGTTTAGTTTTTTTTTGGTGCAAAAGGAGATCTGCCATGTCAAATTTACAAAAAGATTTTTAATCGCATTACTTGTTTACTTCTTTTTCAACTTAAAATGTATCGGTTGAACATTTCCAGTTAAGGCCCAAAGTTTTAGAAAGATCATTAGCACTAAGATCAACCACCTTGAATTTTGTTGTCAGAAAGAATTTCTAAGATCTCCGTTAAAATTGGTTACCACTTGCGCATATTATATCCTGTTGAGTGCAAAATAGCACTTACTTCACGACATTGATGTAATAAATCTGCCTTTTGACCTTTGAACCTCCCGACAGATAATCGTTTACATAAAAAATCATCAGCAATCGTGAATTTAACACTTTGATCAATGCACTCATTGGCTAACTGTAACTGTGTAATAATAATAGTCATGTTGTTTCGGATTTATTTAACAACATAGGCCGCTTGCCCTTATATAATATGCAGATCGGTCGAGTGACTGATCCGAGTCTGTATCCTAGTTGTCGCTGTCACCGAGCGATACTGCTGCTATAATGTATCTACGTGTGTGTGAAATTTATACTATATTGTTTTAATTCTTATGTGTGAGTTTCGTAGTGACAGACGATTGTTTTTGTGTACGCAGATTTCTCCCCGTCATAAATGACAGACAGTTGTGTATCAGGGAAAAACGCTATGGCTACTTCTTATAGTCGTGGTACTTGTTGCTCTATCGTCGCGTATTAAGAAGCACTTCATTCTCTATTTACTGTTTACAATTAATATGTTTAATAGGTCTTTACCTATAAAATCGCCGTTCTGGCCATTTTTTGTTTGGCTAAAACTGAACACGACTCCAACCAGCTTTGGTCAAACGCTCGTCCCCGCTGTTCCTGCATGACAATGCGCGATCTCATACTTCACAACAGACGGTATCCAAGTTGAAAGAGCCGGGGTTTAAACCTCTCCGTCATCCGCCGTACTCACCAGACCTTGCGACCCAGACACCAGACACCCTACAACTACTTTTTTCAGAAATTGGATAACTTTTTGCCGGGATAAAAATTCAATACCCGAGAGGCAGTACAAAATGCCTTTGAAGAGTTTGTTGCCTCCCGTCCAGCTGATTTCTTCAAGAAGGTTTTCAATTAACTGCTACTGCATTCTACAGAACTGTTCAACAGCTCTCTTTGGTTGACAACTCAAAGCTGTCATCTTCTGGAAATATTTTAGTGTCGTGTTTGTGCAAGAATCGAAACATTTACTTGTCCTTTTTTAGTATTTTACGTAAAGCAGATTGTAAGGATTAATTATGGGTGGATATGTAGACTCAGTAAACAGTTTAAACCGTGTAGTGGCAGTGTAAGAATATCCTACCCCATATCTTCTCATGGGTGTCATAAGAGACGACAGAAAGAAACTATACAAGGAGATGGACAGCTTCATCTTCTTGTTAACAGTTGAGTAAAGGTAACAAACTACGGTTGCCGTCCCGCTGGATAAGCAAGACAACTATGGCAAATATCCCCTATGAGCCAATCTAAAGTCTTTAGATAGGCTCTAATGGTAATGGTATGTAGACTTTAGAAGACGTTAGCAAACATGGCAACGAGAGTGAGGTTTGCTTATTTGATTTTGACCAATATGAAATTTTTTTCACACTAACAGTTTCTAGTAGTTCCATGGCTGGTACAACGATTTTATTTTCATTAATTACAGCCAATGAAAAGTGCACTTCTGAACAGGCCTCCATCATAGATAGAGGGGATATTTGCAATATTTACCATGCTTGGCAGTTGGTTAATCCACGGATATTTTTTTTATGCCTTTATTCTATTGCCTAGATTCTTATTTTTTGTAAACTATTATTATCTGAAAATAATTTTGAATCCCTCTCAATTTAATTAAACATTTTTTCCAGCCATTTGTGAAAGGCGAAACAAAAATTTGGCCCACTGTTGGTCGCATAGATGACATGTATGGTGACAAGCATTTGGTGTGCACCTGTCCTCCGGTTCTGGATGATTTCTGATTTGAAGAATAAAACCAAACAATGACTGCGTAAATTATGTATATTTTATCAATATTGTCGTAGAATAAATAAGTTCTAACAACAGAATCTTTTATGTTTATTTTGCAAAGATAAACTTCATATCTCTATATATTATAGCCGTACGAACAACCGATTGCCATGAACTATATTGACTTCCATTTAGTTTCTACCTAATCTTATTGTAGTTACATTATGTTTGAGATTTTAATAATATTTAACAATTTAAAGGCAACTTGTTTGTCGAGTACTACATATAGTAAATGGAATACGGAAAGCTTAACATTTATAACAGTTTAATTTGCCACATACATATTTTAACAAATTTAATTAGAATTGATTTATTAAAGCTTTCCACGATCCATTCCTGAAAGTAATGTATAAAAATTATAAGTAATGAGAATCCAAACAATATAGAAATTAGTTTCATTAAACGAGATTACTCAAAATATATACATAGGTAACAAAAAAAAATCTATAAAATCTAAAAGATATTTAAAATTCATAACCATAAAACTATTCGTACAAAACACACACATCCACACACACACACACACGGGCGCTCAGTTTCAAGTACTTATATTGTTGTTACTTTGTAGGAGAACTGATAGTTTCTTTAGGATACATTCCTAGTTTTACTCCAAGTTCTTTAGGTAGCTTTGTTGAAGGCCTTGTGGGGAAAGGGTGATATGACCCTGTTGATGGACTTCGCGGGTAAGATAAAGAAGATAATGTATCAGTTTCGATCAAAGAAGTGATTGCACTGCACGTGTCATCTGAATCTATTCTTCCTTTATCACTTTTATCCGTATCTTTAGGAAGTGTCGGTGTTTCACGATTTGGAAACGCTTTGGGTGATATTGGTGTAGAAATCTGGTCTAACGATGTAATTTGACATAGCGTGTCGCTTGAATTACTTTTAACTCCTATTGGTGAATAATCATCAACAGAAGGTTCACAAGTTAAGCTTATAGAAGACGTTACTACGTGTGCAAAGTCGCTTACATGGCTGCTGTCACTTTTTAATAAATTTTCTGATATTTTAGACCCTTCATCAACAGTTTTAATGCATGTGTCACTGGCTTTAGTGAGGAAATCATTGTATTTACTTGAGAATGGATAGTTGAAGCTATCAGACATGTACTTGCTTTCATAAGAAGATGTATCTTTACGCTCTGACGACGGTAATGTAACTGACGTTTTAGAGTCACCGGAAAATGATCGACGTGTCCATTCGGAGTCTATTGACTTTAAATCTTCAGAGAATTCATGTTTCATTGGTGAAATGGTTTGTTTTGATCGAAAAATGTCTAAATTGTAGCCTGATTTGTCAGAAATATTTTTGAATTCGCACTTTGCCAAAAATCCTTTATTTTCCCAACCATATATATCTGTTTTATTGCCTACACATTCACTGCTAGGTGTTTTACCATTTTTGGCAGTAAGTTCTTCATTTCTGCTTAAAACTTTTCTTAATTCAAATGACAATGGATCGTCAATTGAAATAGGTCGAGCTTTTTGGAAATAACTTTTTTCGCTTGTTTCAACTTTAGGCAGTCTTTTTATGAAGCCGATTGATGAATCAGATGTTGATTCTTTTAAAAGTGGAGAGTCTAATTGTTTATATTCTACAACTTTTTCTGTAATGAGACTTGAAACATTTTGTTTCTTATCAGTTATGTTTTCAGAATTTTTCTTTGAATGCAATTTATTAATGTCAACTTGAGTATTAGTTATATTTTGCTTTGTTAGGATACGACTTAATATTTGCGAATTTTCTTGAATTATTTGTAATGCTTTTTCACTATTTTTTCTACCAGATCTAATAAAATAGTCTTTCGGTGAAACGTCATTAATATTTTTGGTGTCATTTTCTCGTATTTCGTCCACAACAATATCTGAGTGTAATACTTGTTTCATATTTGCGGTATCCACATAGGGTTTACATTTGATTTCTGTTTTTAATAAATGGCTTAATACATCTTTCTTTCGAAAAGTTTGATTTTGGGGTAAAGAGGATGCTCTTTCAGTTTCATTTTTTAGTAGCTTTTCATTATGGCTAGTCTGTAGAGTTAGTGAATCTGGTTTTTTAGGTTGTCGCGATTGTCTTTTAGTAGCCCTTCTATTTGGAATATCCGAATTATTGGGATCAGTTACGCGTGCTCCAAAAAACTCAGGGCTATGCTCGAAGTATTTGTCAATTTTCAGTGGTATTGGTGGTTCATCCTCACTTATAATGATACTTTCTGTTCCAGGACTTCTCGGAGGACTTTCAAAATCTGACGCATTTTTTTCTGACAAATCTATATCAGGGACAAAGTTTGGATACATTGTTAAGCTGTCAATGATATCAGGTGGTCTTGAATTTAAGCTATATTTTGAAGGAGTCAATCTTTTAAAATTCGATCCAGGATTATATTTATAAGGAGACCTACATTCAATGACAAAATTACATGGTGATAAGTCAATTGGGCTTAATTCAGTAAAGTTTGTACTTTTGGAAATATTTGTTGGCATTTTAAATTCTCGATTTCTTGAAATTTCATCAGAATTTATATTTGTTAACCTTTGTATGACTTCATGTCTCTCTCTATTAATACATGGAGATACTGGTATCGAAGAATTAAATAGAACTTCTGGCTTACGAATAACATTATCACAACTCATTGTGTCCTTTAATTTTTTATCAAAACCATCTATATAAATACGAAGTGGTTCACCAGCAGCAGAATCGAGGTAATCATTAATAGTTTTAATAGGTTTCGTTGGAGTGCGAAATTTACTATCATGATCTGATATTTTTTTATTTATTTCTGCTTTTGTTACTGGTAATTGAGAAATATTTGTGTCTTTATAGAGAGAATACGGGGATGTACTATCTTTTAAGCATGCACTGTTGTTTTCTTTATCATCGTTTGACAACTCTTGATCAGAATCACTTGCCCTTTCATTTTCATCACAAAGGCTAGTATCTGTGCTTGAAGCAGAATGAGAGGAATAAGATGAAGATTCACTAGAACTCCGTGACCGTAACGAAGCAATCATTTCATTAGCTTCTACTTCAGACACTATAACTCCGTCACCAGATTCATCAAAATCGATTGAACTTTTTCTATATTTTTGCGAAGATTTTTCTTTTTTTAAATCTCTCCAGTTAACAGAGTTTCGCCTGTTTAAAGATTTGCGTCTCTTTTCTTCTTTCCAACTAATTGTATCACTTGGAGATCTATGGGACTTTGCATCAGATTTTTCATGGTTTAATGATGAAGCACGTGACGGTGGTATTGCTCCAGGTGGAGGACCAAGTCTTCGTCCTCTAGAACTGACAATGGCACTTTTGCCTAACAAAAGATTATTCACAGTTAGTGATGTCGGGGAAGTAGGAACTCCAACTGAAATAGAATGTGAATACAATTAGTTATCTATTATTTCGACTGCAATTTTCGTGATTGTGAACTAAATGGAAAAACTTAAATAGCAGCAATAAAGAAGTTGAAAATTACATATATGTGTATGGTGAGAAACATTCCGCTGCACTGCTCTAGTTAGGACTTTTGGAGTGGTTAGAATTCACGTGTCTTCAAATTATGTCCTTACTTATGGAAATGCCGTTTGTAATATAAATTTTTTTTTAAATTAAAATTATATATTTTATAACAATTTTATAAAAACCTTTAAGTGAAAATCCTGAATCATTCTCTGTCGTTCGCGTATTATATATGTATTACTATCGCACTCGCACATAAATATGTGGTGACCGACATGATCAAATATTACAAGCCTTTTAGTCATAACAATAAAGCTTTTTCATGTACATGTGTTCCTTGGTTTGTTTTGACTTTGTTATCGATTTTTAAACTAGAGTTGTATTGACATTTATATTGGCTTGCACTCTCGCACTATAGAGTACTCAGTGCTGAATTAAATCGTTTTTGAAGTTAAGTTTGTTGTGCGTGTCTGTTTTATGTGAAAAAATGGCAACATTGTATAAATTACGTCAAAAAAGAGTAGTGAAAATTAGATAAATTGGATAATCAAATACATAAAACTATCGAAGTAACAGAAGTAAAGGGTGAGACATTTGACAGTTCCTCGGGCATCGAAACAGGTACTGATACTAATTAAATATTATTTTAAAAAGCAGATTTGTTTTATTTCACACGTTCTAGTAAGGATACTCGTCGATTTGTCTATTTTGTTTTTTTAAGTCACATGACGCCAAATTCGAAAGCCGTTGCTGCATAAATTGTTAGGCAACTACTTAGATACAAATTATTGACACAATAACAAGCACCATAAATATTTAATGTTTTTTCTCTCTCGCTATGTACAACTTAACAATATTTTATAGATTCGCACTTGTGGCGCCCACTCCTATTTATGAATATATTATATTGGCTAGCTAACTGGCAACGCTAGTCCTCACGAGGTTTCCTTCATGGTTAATTCTTACTCAAAATTACTTTTAGCAATTATAGTGGTCTCATCACCAGAAATTGAACTAGCGTACTATATGTTTTTCGGAGAGCACCCAGCGAGCAGAGTTACTATGGTTCTAGACTAGTATAATGCCAACTAGTGATGCTTAACTATGATATATCATTTACAAATATCGCTTAAATAATGTTCTGCTTCGTGCTTTTAATTTGAGTGTGGTTCTCACACGGTGCATACTAAAATCACAGATTTTAATTAGGTTTAATGCTATAATAGCTTTTTTCTCTATTACTACATACTGTAAGAGAGTACTGAGATCATTCGAGTACTTATTATATAAGTTAAATTATGTAAAAACGAATGCAGTATTTACAGATAGTTTATTTTACGATAAAATGGATGACATAATATTACCTGCGGCGTGTCGAGCACAAGCAGCTGCTAAAATAACATGAGCTTGCCTTTGCCGTTCCCGAAGGCGAGCATACTGACGTTTTAGAGCTCCTATATCCAGTGAAAGCCTGTCACCAGCACCCGATCTCTCCTCACGTCTAGGTATGACCTGTTAAACATTGATCCTTTAGCCATATATTTCAAATTAGAAAAATTTAATATATTTAAATTTACGTACTGCAGTTAAAGCCATTTTATTTCCGTCGTCGCTGGAGTCGCCTTCATCTTCGGAGTAAAACAAGCGCAAACCACGTTTTGTCATTGATTGCATCTAAAATAAAATAGAGACTTCTTTCATTCTTATACAGTTACATACATTTATCTAAATACATTTTTAAGAGTGGTAAGTATTTCAAATAATATATAATTTTCATCACCAGACTGAACCTGTTCACCGGTGAACTGTGATATGTGGATTAAAACATTTCTCTCTGTTATTGGTATGCCTAATTTCAGCCAATTTTTGATACATTTCTGTCATGAATTCATCCTGTTGGGTGTATAGCACGTCAGAGCTATTAGATTTCAAACGAATAACTAATTCAATATAAAATTAGTATCGCTTATATCAAAAAAAATGACAAACGTGTTAACAGTCTATTTTCTACGATGTTAGTGCTGAAAGCCAATTGGTTTTTACAATTTCATCGGACGCAGGGGTGCGCGGATAATGGCTCTGACGGCTTAATTCGTGTCGGACAAGTCCCATGAGAACCGCCCAGTGTGTATGCGGTGTGGAGGGTTCTCATCCGTAGTCCATAAGTGTTTGTATTACTAGGTGCTTGTGTAGTGTCGATGTATGTTGGGCCTCCATCGTTTGGGTCATCGGAATCGAGTGGAACTGGGGGTTCAATGAATACGTTTTGGGGTCAGCAGAAATTTAGCGCGACGCTTTGTCCGAAGATCGGTTTACAGTCAAAATGATAGTAAGTAGTTGTTCCCTTTCCCGTGGTGTCGAGCCGGTGCCGCTTAGCAGTCGTGGCTTGATCACTTACGGTGAACTAAGAGCAACGCCCACAGCTAGCACGAGGTGGAGTGTGTTTGCGGTTGTGGCGGGAGGGTAGTCTCCTCACCCGTGGTAGTCAAGGAGGTAGAGTAGCGGAGGAAAATGACTTCTTGCGTCGTGGTCATACTCGCACTATGATCCGCGACCCTGGCGGAGTGGTACTGCTAATGTGGCGATGGTGGCGACGCGACAGGGATAGGATTGTCAGCCATTCTACCCCCCTCCCCCCATTTTCTCTACCCTCCGGGCTGAGACGTGGTCGGTGGCGAAGTGATAGACCAGATCCACCGTTGGGGCCGGGAAGCCTGGTGTTTATGGGCGCACGTTTTTCTAGCTTTCGCGTAACGTCGCCCGTCCTTGCTCCCGCGAGGCGGGTATGTATTGACATTTCCAAATGCAAGTCTTGATCTTCAAACAAAAAAGTAGCAGCCTAAGTTCTTTTTATGGAATCAGGATGATAAACGAGCACACAGTCCACCTGACGGTAAGTGGATGCTGTGGCTTATAGACATCTACATTTAACCTTAATTAAGAATCAAAATGCATATGCCTTGTCACCCCTGAGTACTAAGATGAAATGCTTCGTTTCCAGTAAAGTGTCTACGGTACTCTACACCCACGCATTAAGCTTCTATTTTATGCTGGTATTCTTTGAGAGCGACCCTGTCGAGCTGACACATTCCTACTACAACCGTAATATAGCTGCAGCGTGGCTCTATTACGTAAAAAGTAGCACACACGCTTAAGAAATATTTTCCAGTTGAGATAAAAAAAGTAGGAGTAGCCACGGAAATTATAAAACACGCTTAAATTCGCGATCGGTTAAATTCGTTTTTTTTTAATTAGAAATAGATAAATAAATTTATTATTTCACATTTAATTTATTATATTTGGTACTATATTAAAAGCACATTAAAAGCAGTAAAAAATATTTTTCTGTCCGTAAACCCTTTTGGGATATTACTAAAAACATGCAAAATTGTTGCCTAGACACAAAAATAATTTCTGGTCTTTGTTGAAATGAGGTTTGAGATAATTTATTTCTCATAAGGATTAGATTCACTTACATGAGAAACTTCAATGATACAGAATTCGAAACATTTTGGGCATATCGTATATAAAAAAGAAAGAATAATTTAATAAGTATAAAACGGGTAGGGTAGTTGTTAATATTATGATAATGATTTGTTTCGAGTGTTGCGCGCCAAACTACATTATATAGAAAGTTATGAATGATCATAGAGTAAAGTAAAAGAAATGTTACTGCTAGGCGATCGACCTAATCTACCTAAATAAATAATTTTTTTTAACTTTGAAAACACAGATATCTAATATCATCATCATCATTACAGCCCTTCACAAGTCCACTGCTGAACATAGGTCTCCCCCAAGGAATGCCACAAAGCACGGTCCTGAGCCAGCTGCATCCATTGACTTCCTGCATATCTTACTAGGTCGTCACTCCATCTAGTAGGGGGACGCCCTACACTTCGCCTGCCGGTACGAGGCTGCCACTCGAGAACCTTTTTTCCCCATCCGTTGTCGGTTCTTCGAGCTATATGGCCGGTCCATTGCCACTTCAGCTTACTAATCCATTGGGCTATGTCGGTCACTCTGGTTCTACTGCGTATATCCTCATTTCTAAGTTTATCACGCAGAGAAACTCCGAGCATAGCCCTCTCCATAGCTCGCTGAGCGACCTTGAGCTTCCTCATCCGGCCAGCAGTGAAGGACCACGTCTCAGTACCATAGGTCATCACTGGCAATACGCACTGGTTGTACAGTCTTGTTTTCAAGTTTTGAGGTATACCTGACGAGAAATGTGCCGTAATTATCTAATATACAGAACATAATTTTTTTTTGCCATAAAATACACATCACCGACTATTGAAAAAGGAACATTAGAAATCATACACAATTCATAACCCATTCAGTAATCATCATCATCATCATCATTACAGCCCTTCACAAGTCCACTGCTGAACATAGGCCTCCCCCAAAGAATGCCACAAAGCACGGTCCTGAGCCACCTGCATCCATCGACTTCCTGCATGTCTTACCAGGTCGTCACTCCATCTCGTGGGGGGACGCCCTACACTTCGCCTACCGGTACGAGGCTGCCACTCGAGAACCTTTCTTCCCCATCGGTTGTCGGTTCTTCGAGCTATATGGCCGGCCCACTGCCACTTCAGCTTACTAATCCGTTGGGCTATGTCGGTCACTCTGGTTCTACTGCGGATATCCTCATTCCTAAGTTTATCACGCAGAGAAACTCCGAGCATAGCCCTCTCCATAGCTCGCTGAGCGACCTTGAGCTTCCTCATACGGCCAGCAGTGAAGGACCACGTCTCAGTTCCGTAAGTCATCACTGGCAACACGCACTGGTTGTACAATTTATAATTTAGTTGTACATTCAGTAAATCTGTCAGTAATTATTTCGTTGGCAACATTTTAAATTTTTTTGTGACAAATTCTACTCTATGCGATTACGGCGATTCATTATTTTTTTAAGATAGAAAACACAGATATTTAATATACAGAACATAAAAGTTTTTCTTTGCCATAACATACACATCACGTACTATTGAAAAAGGGACATTAGAAATCATACAAAATTCACAACTCATTCAGTAAATCTGTCAGTAATTATTTCGATGGCATCATTTTAAATTTTTTGGTGACAAATTCTACTCTGTGCGATTATTCGACCACAGACTGCTACTTGTTTGACAATTGACATTGGCAGTAGTTTACGTTCCTATTAAATAAAATGTTTTATTTTATCTAATGTACTGTAACACATATTTTTATATATACATTAATGGTAGGTTTCTGCACTCCTCCATAATATCTTTAAATATGCTTTATTATGATACAAAGTATTTTCGTCATGTAGATCAGAGAGAGAGAGAGATCGAGAGAGAGAGAGAGAGAGAGAGAGAGAGAGAGAGAGAGAGAGAGAGAAAGAGAGAATATGATAATCAGACACAAATCCTTCCAACTACGTATAAAGTCTACGTCCATTTCTGGAATCATGCATAGACTTGAGAGACCATTATGTTATAAAAGAATATCAAAATTAAAAAAAATACCGTAGACTGTATTGGAGGGTGGAAAACAGGCGCGGAATTGGGTGGAGCTGGCGGTGCAACTTTATATCGGTGGAGACTGCGAAGTCTAGGCAGTTCCGGTGCTGATCCAAACGCTACGACCCTCGCTACCAGCGCCTCGCCCGCCTCCCAAACAGCACCAACACCACCGCCCATACAGCTATAGAACTCGTCTGCAGACCGTGCTGATAGAATACGACTGAAATGAGATAGAAATAGAAATTAAACACTTGAAGCTGAAAGCCAAAGTAATTGAGGCAATACCTGTAATTTTAATAGGATGCGCTACATGAAGATAATTATGCAATACTTTGTTTAAAATAATGAATAAACTCTTTTTGATTTTTACGCAAAGATTCTGTAAAAAGTGTAGTTATACATACATAATATACATAAACACTCACGCCTGTCACCCAGAGGGGTAGGCAGAGACTACTGACTTCCATTTGGCGCGATCCTGACACACCTCTCTCGCCTCTTTTACATCCATATATCTACGCATACACGCTCGTCGGTTAAGGGTACTCCTAATCTGGCCCATTTTTAATGTATCGCCGATTTGGTCGATAAACCTTCGTCTAGGGCGTCCCTTCCCGACCCTGCCGTTCACTTCAGTTATAATATTGAGGAATACAAGGATGATAGTAACCTTCGCGAATGAGGTGAAAACTATGAAGTTTTTCCTTAAATACGTAAACTGGTTTAAAAATTCCTATTGGGGTTTTTGCTGATTCTTCAGGCATTTGCCGAACCAGTGGTTAATGAGGAAATTGCTTTCCATGAGCGTTAATTAAAATCTATTTGTCGTCGTGATGGATGATTTGTTACAACAATATGATCAATTATGTACAATGTCACATTTATCAACTATACTATTAATATAAAACTTACTCTTGTAGTATGTCCCATATCGCAAGTGCTGTAAGCAGAAGGACTTCGCTACCGTCAAGGAGGATAAGATCCCAGATTCTTAATAACGAATCCCGGGGTAGCCATGTTGCGTAAAGTGTAAGGAACCATTGCATAGTGAAAACATCAGGTAGAGGAGGTTCAATACCGCCACCTAAAATAATACATTTTTTTTAAAGAAATATCCTAGTGATCGCATGTAGAAAGTTAAATTATTATTATGCTTAGAAATTATAAAATTTTAAATTTATGAAATCTAAAATTTTCCATGATCGTTTCCGTCTTGAAAATCTTTGAATTTAAAATTAAGGTGTCATGTTAAGGGTACCCACATATTACTTTACGATTTACTAAAATATATTATTGTAAATATATAAGTACATGCAATAGTCAATCATCATCATCATCATCATCATCATCACAGCCCTTCACAAGTATATCGTTGAACATAGGCCTCACCCCAGGAATGCCACAAAGGAGGTTCTTGAGCCACCTGCATCCATCTACTCACTGCATCTTTTACGAGGTTGTCACTCCATCCATTTGGTGGACGGCCTACAACTTTACTTATCAGTACGAAGCTGCCACCTGAGAACCTTTCTTCCCGACCGGTTATCGGTTTTTTCGCCATATAGCTGGCCGGCCCATTGGCATTGTCAGTGTCAGTATAATTTCTATAAATTTTATTAGACAAATTAGGGATTAAAATTAGGGACAAAATAGGGAAACTATTGGTAAATCCAATTGTGCATGCACCAAGCGCATTAAAAAAATTACTTTTTATAACCTTATTATACTTCTAATTCTCCAATAATTTAATTGTCAAACTTCAATTTAAAAAAAGGTTTGGGAAATCCAAAAGTGCACGACTCATAATGTTCATATGATCATCATATCATCATTCAAGTCACTCCATAAAGTCCAAGACTATAGAATTTTATGTCCAAGACGTATTTAAGTATAAATATATACATCCTACTTACTTTTAATACACTACTGTCATTTATTCTGTGCTTTTAAAATATTGTAATAAAAATCTCTGAATTATAATAATCAAGTATGTATGAAATTTGGTGTTTTGAATATTTTGTATTTGTACAGCGATCATTTTGAGCCGCTTAAAACAACCAATACAGTATCCACTTACGACGGCGGTTGAGGCCAGACTGACACAGTCTATTTAGTAAAATTAAATTTAATACAAGGCTGCTTAAACAACAAAAATATCGACATTTCGCAGCCGAAAAATTTAATTATAACTAAACAAAACAAAATTAAACTGCCATTTACATTCCATGGCTTCCCACATAATAGATGAAGAGATTAAAAATAGATTGAGTAAAACAATTGATGCGGACTTGATAAATCTACACCATAAGCCACTAAAAGCCCTTTTTTATGTAAAAATAGCAAGTAATCGATTTAAAAAAATATTAATAAGTTCAACAATCATTTATCTTTCTAACAATGTGCTTTTTATATGATTTCTATATTCAATATGATTGTTAGATATGATTTTATGCGACAAAACGTTGGAATCTTGATTTTTTGGCGCTAGTAGAACATACCTACGCGCTTTGCGCTTACGGCATGCAAAAGATATTATAAAACTTAAATAAATTAACCATCAGATATCCTTTGAAGACGATCCATGTGATGTGCGAGTCTCGGCAAACGTATCTTAAGTAGATCTCTAAATGCCGCCATGTCTGCGGAGAGTCCGCGCAGGTCATCTGCAAAGTAACCCTCTGGTAATACAGCTTCCACTAAATATATCATCACCTGCAATAAGAAATAATGAAAGTAGGACCCTACACATTATATAACCACAGTCACACGTACACACGTAACCCATATATTTACCTTTAACGAATCAGATTCTGACTTTTCCATTACTTCTAATATTATAGCTGCTAACATATTGAAGCCTTGACAGTATCCTACATCCTTATTCCACCTATAAAATAAAATTTTAGTTTCAATAAGCATATATCTTAAGTGTAAAAAATAAAATAAGTTAACACGTTACCTAGCGTATGCCAATAAAACTCTTCTTAGCATTGCTTGATTTTCCCGACCTTCAGTCCCACAAAAAAGTGAGCAACCGGTACGATGTAAATCCTGTAACAAGATTTTTTTATTCTGAATAACATTTTATTAAGTATTTATTTCTTTACGTACCTCCCTTTTACACATACATAATATGCTTATTAGACCATTCAAAAACATTGAATATAAAGACACTGAGCGACCTTGAGCTTCCTCATACGTTCTGCAGTGAAAAACCACGTCTCAGGTCCATATATCATCGTTGGCAACACGCACTGGTTATACAGAGTGTTTTCAAGTTATGAGGTAAGTGACGAAAAGATGTGTCGTAATCTCCCAAACGCTGTCCAGCCCAGTTAGATCCGTCGATTAACCTCTCGGTCGAAGTTCTATTTACCTAATCGGATAATTTGTGCTAGGTATACATACTCGTCAACAACTTTTAGCGTAGCACTCTCGACAACTACCAGCATGAGTGTGACATGGACGTTACACATGACCTTTGTCAAGTTCATGTTCATTTGAGGACCTATCATAGTGCTGAGGTTTTCTAGTGATTCTGATTTGACTCCTCCGTAATGACTATATTGTCGACAAAACGAAGGTGAATTATGTACTAACCATTGCTGTCATTTTGAAAATGTCTTTCAATGCAGCGGTGAAGAGATTCGGTGATATAACGTAATCATGTCTTAAACTTTTCTGCATTTCAATAGGTTTCGTACTCTGGTCAGAACCAGAGTATGAAACCTATTGAAATGCAGTAGTACAGACTCGCATACCCACCGTAGCCCTACTGTACTAAACTTCAGCAATATGTCTATCCTCTAAGGATAACGCACAGTAACCATTTTTATGTCAAAACTTTCGTTTTTTTTTTAAGTTTAAAAACTAAATAAATAATATGGCGGCTGTTGATAATAAATGGGTAGTTCCATATTTCCCTATATTTTGCAGAAGTTTTAATTCACACGTTAATGTTGAGTATTATCAATCAGAAGTGATTAAAAATATCCGTAAATATTATATATCAATAAAGGATCTTACCAGACCACTGTCTCTATTAAAAACAAAAAAATGAGATCGAAACATATTTCAATGGCCGATACCGACATTAGCACATCAGAAACTGTTTAAAGAATTTTTGAGTTTCACATTTACGAGAGGTATTTGACAGTAACCCATTTAGCAGTGCACCTAGAAAACGCCCCCAGAGTGTATTTCACAGAAAACAATTTCCAACAAAGAATTAAAAGCCCTTCTGCAGCAACACTTGCGGCTTTTTTTATTTATGTAGCACAGACGATTTCCCTCGAAGTCCCTCATTACACATGGGCAAATAAATTTTCGCGAAGAAAACAAGAATGGCATCCCGGGATTAAGAAAGACTCTGCTCTTAGTAGAATTTATGGTATTCATCCCAGTCAATCTGAATGCTTTCGTTTAAGAATTTTTTACAACATCTTTGCGGTCCGACATATTTTCAAAGTCTTTTGAGAGTTAATGGACAGGTCAAACTAACTGCTTGCTATGCATGAACTCTGCATTACTGAGGACGACGAACATTGGCAGCATACCTACGCTGATGCTGTACTTTCTTTCTTGATGTAACTTTGTTATCTTGTCAACCTCTAGATCCCTTTACTTTGTTGCACAGATAGCGTCAGCAGAATAACGGTGACGGTATGCTATTATCAAATTATATGATAAATCAATAAAGGACTATGGCCTGCCTTTTTATAGCATAATGGTGACAAACGAGCGTACAGTCCACCTGATGGTAAGTGGTTACTGCAGCCAATAGACATCTACAACTATCCTCGATTACGAATCAAAATGCAGATTCGTTGTAACCCGCGAGGACTAAGATGGAATGCCACGTTTCCAGTATACAGGATCCTGTGATGGTCGGACGTGTGAGAAGGCGATAGTTTCAATCAATCGAAGAACAAATACCGTAAAAAATACGGGTTAATGAAAATATATATAAATCAGTTGATACTTGATACCGCGATACAGAGGATGCTGTGCATTATCCACAGGAATTCCTTAAATCCCTTAATACTTCAGGATTTCCCCCTTATACTCTAACAATTAAAGTCGGTGTTCCAATAATTTTATTGCGAAACCTAAATTCGTCAAATCTGTGCAATGGAACTAGAATCCAAGTAAAATCGCTACGAAATAATATGATTATATGCTTACAGGACCAGCGGCAGATCAGCTGGCTCATATTTCCCACATTAGGAATGTGAACCTAACAGATTTACCTTTCCAATTTAAGCGAAAACAGTTTGCAATATACATTTCTTTCGCCATCATCATCAACAAATCCCAAGGTCAAACATACAAATATATTGGACTTGACTTAAGGGGAGGTTGCTTTACTCATGGACAATTATATGTTGGTCAGAAAAATCAGAGAATCAATTTATTTTAAGTTTTAAATAAATTATACCTACCTAATATTTAAGATAGATAATTGTTCAACCCGGGCAAAGGCGGGGCGGGCCATTAGTATAATATATTTAAGATGAAAAGTGTTATGATATTAAAAAATACAACGCAGTGAGGAGTGATTCCCACCGCCAATGATTCCCACTAAAATTATACAATAGCACTGCTGTGTTATATGGTGAGAAGATAATAATGATTCTTCGTTGGTTTCTTTACCCCTTCTGCAATTCTTGCGTCAGTTGGCTTACACTGTTGAGGGTTCTCATCTCGTAGGTATTTTAAATATTTATTTAATATTTTAATTATTTTTTTTTATTATTTTATCGGAATAGCAAGCTTATTGTTAATTTATATATAATACCTTTATGATTTGAGCACCAAGCTCAGTATCATCGGGCTGGGCGGTGCCGCGGAAACAGGCTCGCTCTGCAGTAGGCCAGTCGATTTTTCTTGATGCTAAATGTCGCTCTGATAGAGTCAGCCATAGCTGTGAAGAACAGTTAAGAAAACAATATTGGCATGTGGTATTAAATAATATTTTTAATGGATCGTGTAATTCTTATCTCATCTTATTTATTTTTGATAGGCTAAGGGTGACTAACGAGCACACAATCCACCTAAGTGGTTGCTGTGGCCCATAGACATCTACATTTATCCTCGATTACGAATCAAAATGCAGATGCATTGTCACCCGTGAGGACTAAGATGGAATGCCTCGTTTCCAGTAAAAAGGGTCTCCGGTTCCCTACACTCACCATACGAAACACAGCAGCATTAAGCTGCTATTTTACGCTGGTATTCTGTGAGAGCGTGGTCCTTCCCTGGTCGAGCCGACCCATTTGTGTTACAACTATACCAGAAATATAGCTGCAGCATGGCTCTAGCACGTATAAAATTTCTTTTGAAATTACTCTAATAGGTATTATCTGATTTAAAAGGATTTAAAATTTTTATTTTTACGGTTATTGCTTTTAGGAATAAATAATGACCCGTTTTCATATTTTCTTATTTTAAAGCCCTTTCTCTTTCCCATTGACGCCTCAGCCGGTATCGGAATCCTACGCATTTACGTATCGATTAACGTTCAGTTTCGTAGTAGGGTAGGCCAAGTTGACCTGCTATAGCTTGGCGTATTTAGTAAAGTGGGATGGTCTTGACTTCCAACGATGGAATTTGACTTCCAACAGAGAGCACCTCGTCGTCTATCAGGTTCTTTCTGTTCTGCATGATCCATTAGCCCTCTAAAGAGGCTTTGTATCCCTAACATTTCCGTTTACCATACTCTGTGCTCCCCAGAATTTTGTACGGATTTTTTTTAACTAAAACTAAAGTGTGAAGAACAAACTCACAGTCCACCTGATGGTAAGTGACTTGTGTGTTGTTGTCCATGAACACCTGCGGACAACTTCAAAGAAAGAAGGCTACAGATGCGTTATTAGCTGTGAGGACTAATAACGTAACTTAAGGGTTTTTTTATTGGAGAAAGGGTCATCTCAGGAAAGGGCAGAGCAACGTCTGCCTGGTCAGCTAGTAAATTATATATTTTATCATTCAAAATTAGTATCATTTCACATAATTATGGTTAATATTAAAATATGTTTTTTGAATTTGGTACTGTCTCAGTGAAATTCGAAGTAACAACAGCTTAAAGGCTTTAAACGAATTTTAATCAAATACAGACACAGTAATTAAAATAATAATTATAGAGCAATAGCAATATTTCATTTATAGACAAATATATCGTAACACTTCTCGTTGATATAATACACTTGTGACTATATAAGCTATTCGTCAGATAAAACTGATAAAGTCATCCATGTTCACAACACTTGCATGCCGTATTGAGATTATATCGTAAAATATGATCCAACGCGTGTTACGTGGGCGGCAAATTGACGGAAAGCTTACGTATACAAGACCGTTATTGAATCTTTCAGAGCATTTGATTTGCTTGAACACACATTTTAATTGATGTTATAACCTCAAATTAGTTTTTGATATTTGAGGCACTGAGAAAAAATAGTTTTTTTTTGAATATGTTTAGGTGGATAGATACTTTTATTTCGTTTTCGTTTTATTAGTCCATAAAAGGTCAATTCTGATCATGGGTCGTTCTCGTTAGAGGATTTGCCATAATCATCCCGCTTGGCAGGCATATGACTATCGCATTACCAGACGCTTAGCAACCTTGATCACATGAGTAGATTACTCTTGTGCCTTGATGCTTCTCCTCGTCACTAGTCTGCGTATTTTACGCCTAACGTGGACGAGATGGCGATAACCCCCATCTATTGGGACTCTAGTGGTGTCGGGGTTAGATAATTTCTTCAACTCATTGCGTGACTTCGGAATATGCCAGAAAGAACTTTTACACTTTAACGAAACAAAATTACTATCACCATTAATGATTGAGTAGTAGGTGCTGTAGCAGCCGGCTGGCATTGTATGTAATGCGATGGTGGTAATGTCCATCTGGTCGATTTTCAACTAAAGTGACAACTTCATAATAATCGGGAAATTCCAAAAAGTATTTTGTGTTATGATGATTTGTCGGAATTCTAAATTGTTTAAAATTACATTTTACTGAATGCAGTAGTACCTGGTTCATTTTATGTTTTGCTTTTTCTATTTCATTTCCATTTGTAAATATATTTTATGTATATAATAGCCAACAACATTCCATAGACTTTCGATAAAATACTCGTTATGCTAATAAGTTAGTTTAGAATTAATAGTGCTTGAAGAAACAAGGGTCGGTAATTAGGCCTTCATTTTTTATTCTTTATATTAAACCGTGGTTTATGTTATGTAACCTGTTCACAACTCAAAATAATAAAAGAGTGATGTTGTAACTGTGGCAAAAATACTCCTTATCAGACTCTATGTGAGAGGCCTATGTTTAGCAGTGGACTTTCGGGAAGCTGTAAATAATGATATGAATGACAATAAAAATAGTGGTGTACATTCGGTAAATACTAGAAACAAACACAAGCTAGTAATACCATGTTCAGCAGTGGACTTTGACAGGCTGTAATGATAATGGTGATGAAGACGTGGTTCAGTAGTTATTCACGCACCTTAAATTTCATTGGACAGGAGTTACCCTCACCTAATTAAAAATTTTGTCAAAATATTAATTGCAATTTTAGGAGGTGAAGTTTTAATACCCCATGTGCTTGCTGGTGAAGAAAAATATACACATGAGAGTTTGAAAAATAAAAAATATTTCAACAAAGTCATAAAACTCACTAACACGCATTGAGGCAACGCGGCACGCTCCGTTGTAGCATCGTATGTCATTGTAGCATGCAGTTATAAAGGCCGTATTGTTTAAGCATATTTATTTCTGTATAAGAATATGTTAATATAATACCTTTCTTCGAAAGTGTTGTGGCACGCCGGCTGGAAGCCGCGCAACTAGTTTCATAGCATGAAGCCATTCTGCAAAACCACCCTCGCCAGGTCCTTCGCTGCCACTCGGCGTTATGCCGAAACGAGCATCGGAGTCTCCGGCTAAATGAAATAGTTATTGTGTTTTAGAAATACTGCCTCATTATAATGTATTAATAGAAATTATAATATTAAAAAATTCGCACATTTTAATATCTTACTTAGGTAAACGTAAAACGTCCAAAAAATATAATACGTAAGAGTCTTGATAAAAAAGTTTGTAAAACAAAAGGTTATTGTTGTGAATCTAATGCTATAAGGCCAGATCTACCTTTATGCAAAAAACATCACTACGAAGGTTTCGTAATCTAATTTACTTACCGTGAAACCAATTTAATCAGTTTTATTAAATTCATGTATCTGAATTACTCTGGCATAGCTACTGGTCAACTTATTTAAAGGGAAACAATGAGTTTAAGCTAGAAGGAACTAAATTACTAAATATTTTTCTAGTGTGACTAAAGTTTACTATTTATACCTGGATTAGCCCTCGAAGAACTGGTCAAGTTCCTGAGGGAGTTTAAGATTGCACTCATCTGTCCTGCACGGGGTCCACTTTTGACAATAAATGCATATTTGCAACTGTACTAATCACCGAGTTAATGGTTTGACATCATACTTCGACGCAGTGTTATTGCGGGCGTACACATTATGCTTTTCCTAAAGCTACATTAAGGATATGACAAATCGCATTAATGAAACACGCAATAAATTCGAGTGAATAGATCGCAGATTAAAATCACAATTTGCCATAATCTTCACAACATTTGACACTACATTGTCTACCAGCTGATGTGATGTTTACTGGGGAAGTTGCGAAAGGAAGCGAAGGGGCAGCCCACCTCCTACTATAACATCGCGTGGATATTCAATTTAAATCGATGGTACGACAGTAGCGATGCCAGAGTAAGCCAGAATGCCGATACAGGGTGTAGTGGTAGGTGTCTTTGGGCATGCGCCATGGGCTTCGTTGGTAGCGTTTGTGTGCGTTGCGTATCGATTTGGATGCCCTTGTGTATGTCCGTTACAGACATAGATAGATATTTTATAGCTTTAAACTTGCTTTTGCTTAGATGTGCGTAACGTTGTTTAGAGTTTGAAATTACTGGTGTTTACTTTTACAAGTGTATAAATTTTATCAAAAAAATGTACGTATATTTAATAACAATGCAATAATAAAAATGATTTTTAATTATTTTACTCTAAGCTAGCACTGGGGTACGTGCATGTTACCAAAATGCATGAACATAACTCAAAAAAAAAATGGTGATGTGTAAAACATACTTATATGTCGAAGTAAGACGGTAAACGCAGCGCACAGTTTCTTTTGTTCTCGCCTTAAGCGGTCTCGCGCACGTAAGCTTTTCGCCAACCTCTCTCCGGTTACACGTAGTCTGTACATCCATTCATTTAACTGGTCCTGAAGTTCGTCCTTTTCTGTTGTATGGAATAATAATATAATATTAATAACACGTACCATACGAAACACACACACACACACACACACACACACACACACACACACACACTCACACACACACACACACACACACACACACACACACACTCACACACACACACACTCACACACACACAAACGCACGCACGTACGCACGCACGCACGCGCACTCACACACATACACACACAGCGTTTTCCTAGCAGAATTTACAAGCTACCCTGCTTAATAACTACTTAAGCTAATTAATCTTTTTATTTCGTGATATCGGTTATATTAGTAATTCTTTTTACACTTTTTTATTTTTAATATTTCGGACATCCTAGTTATGGATTCTTTTACGCATACTAATATTTTAAACGGAAGAACGAAGAATAATTTGAACGGAAGCCACAAGTAATCGTATTAGTAATTTAAAATGTACCTAAATCTTCTAAATACACTCGTTCAATGGCATCCGTCTGATCACCGCAGTTAGATTGAGATGATGTAAGAGACGGTGCGCTGCTGTAAACAATACGTTTTTATAGGTACTTTAAATCGCATAAAATAACATAATATTATCTAATAATAAAGATATTAAAATGAATCAGCTAAGATTTGCGAATAAAATAAAATAAAAATGATGTGTCTTACCTAGATTGAAGAGCACCTCCGGCCCTCCCTCAATCAAGATAATTAATAGAATCAGACGTTACTTTGCAGAAATCCATTACTTTAATAAAATGTTGAAGATTTTATCTTTAATATAATAATATTTATATTATCTAATCTGTTTTCATCCAATATTATAACTTACAAGTTTGAATTGTTGATGTTTCATAAATATGAAGACTAACATGGCTGTATTCATGACTTTCATGATTTTATAGATTGTTCAATTACTAACCAGTTAATGATACTGATAGCTCAGGCATGTTTATATATATATATATATATATATATATATATATATATATATATATATATATATAATATACAAGCGAAACTTGTAGTTAAAGTACAAAAGCCATAGTACACAGTTACTTATTTATGATAATGTAATAACTGCTTTAAAACATATGTTAATAAACGGTGTGTTGCTTATTTGAAATTTTGAGTATTTATGCGAACGCAACCATTTATATTTCACTGTTTGTTGGTTAAGTAAACATTGTCTAATAATAAACTTACACACCTTTGGCTATATTCTGTGATACTGTTTCTAGTCCAGTCACGTTGATCTGCATATAGTTGGTCTAGTAATTGTTCTACTAAATCTTTTATATCATGTTTCTGTAAATTTACATAAAATGATAAGTTTGCCTCTTGTTCCATAATAATGATGTTGAAAGTATTTTTTTACTGTAATTGGGTTCAAATTGATTTAATTTAAATTTTATTAGATTTTAATAACACCGTGTAATTGCGGCGTAAACAACTCATTAGCCATATAATCTTGAGAGAGAAGTTGTGTCAATGAAGAGACGTCAAAGGGCTACGGTTGCCAACCCACTTGTCAAGCGTGGCATCTGAACAAACGTCGTGGGGACCTTATTTCAGCAGTGGACTTTTGATGGTCTGTAATGAATGAATGGTTGAATGAAAGAAAAAATAACACAGCAATTTAAGTCCGATGAAGCGGTTACAGCCACCACCCGGCTAACAGGACAAACATTTATAAATAAATATCAACATACATGTATTGTTAAAACTTAATTTAAGAAAATATACATCTAATAATTATAAACTTATTTATTCGTTCAACCAGTAGAAGAAAACTTGCTGGATCTAAAGCAAAATCAACCCTTGAAAAAGTTTCCGCTGTAAAAAGTTGCAATAGTTGAATTTAATTTATCTACTTTGTCGGAAAAACTTTAAGACAGGACCAGTTTATTAAATTGAAATACTAGAACATGCGCACATTACGTAAGCAAGGATATAAAAGACCGTGGGCAGTCGTTTAGTTACCTTGGAAATTTCTAAATTTTATTGTCACGTTTAATTCATTATCTAATTTATATGATTCCATCATTTAGGTCATTAAAATATTATATGATATTTAACTAATAATTAGAACTGGAAAAGAATAATAGTACGTCATATTGAAAATTTTTGCACGATAAATCTTAAAAATTACCTGCCGTGGATTATTGACTGGAGGCGGTGATGGTATTACACATTGCTTTTTGTGTTCAATTTTTGGTATACGAATTTTCTTTGGTTTCTTCTTTTGTTTTAGCTCCGTAGGATTCAATAAGTCAAAGTTTAATTCATACTTTACTACTTTTAAGTTAATAGGTTCGTTTATAATTATTGTTTTCATACTTGCTGTTTATTTTAATCTTGCATTGTTTGTCAAAATAATTTAGTGTCAGATAAAAACTGTACGTCAATTTGGTGACACTAAGTTATTTTAATTAAAAGTAAGGACTAAATAGTAAGTAATACGCGTCGATTCAGCATTAATTGCTACTAAATATAATTAAAAGTACTGAGCAGTAGTGGTTCAGGAAGGCGTGCGATAGTCACCCACTCGTTCATTGTCTGCTCGTCCTGATACTACTGATAACACTAATATATTCACTGAAATGCATGCTCAATGAGTTAAAGCCAAACGTGTACAAAACTATTTTTACAAAATATTTTTCCAGTAATTTTCCATGTAAAATATTTGTAAGGAATATATATTTCTTGTAATAATTTAGATTTCTTCTTTATTTTTTATTATTCATAAGAACGTAAATTCCACAGATGTAAATGGGTTTCCCCTGTTGTAGAGGGAATTTGTCACGCTTAGTAGGTAGGTGCACAGCTGCAAAAGCAATTTCAAAATGAATACTGTTTCTACTCCAGCTGCAGATCCGTGTTCAGGCCTCGAGCCCTGTGTTAGACGAAGCTGTAAGAGGCGCATAGGCTAACAGCGCTTACATCACAAAAATTGATGATGAATAGATGATGGTAATAGATTACACACTGACAGACATTACTTATTGTGGAAAGTTAGTTGTTTGAGCAACGTAGAAAATTTTAGCTGCTGCTCCATCAGGCAGCTTTCTAACAGCGAGGATTGCAGAACTTTTCAAACAGGTTGCTCTCCATTGGAGATTAGAGATTCCATGAAAAATTGTCGAACTAATTCTAATACAAAAAAACGATATAACGATAATCTTGTAAATTAATTACAACGTTCTGAGGCGAATGAGACAGTCATCATCATCATCATCATCATCATTACAGCCCTTCATAAGTCCACTGCTGAACATTAGCCTCCACCAAGGAATGCCACAAAGCACGGTCCTGAGCCACCTGCATCCATTGACTTCCTGCATGTCTTACCAGGTCGTCACTCCATCTAGTGGGGGGTCGCCTACTGGTACGAGGCTGCCACTCGAGAACCTTTCTTCCCCATCGGTAATGTCGGTTCTTCGAGCTATATGGCCGGCCCACTGCCACTTCAGCTTACTAATCCGTTGGGCTATGTCGGTTACTCTGGTTCTACTGCGGATATCCTTATTTCTAAGTTTATCACGCAGGGAAACCCCGCAAAACGCATAACCCTCTCTATAGCTCGCTGAGCGACCTTGAGCTTCCTCATAAGGCCAGCACGTCTCAGATCCGTAAGTCATCACTGGCAATAAGCACTGGTTGTACAATTTCGTTTTCAGGTTTTGAGGTATGTCTAATGAGAAGATGTGTCGTAGTTTCCCGAACGCTGCCCAGCCGAGTTGAATCCGTCGATTGACCTCTCAGTCGAAGTTGGACTTACCTAGACGGACTATTTGTCCCAGGTAAACATACTCGTCAAAAACTTCGAGCTTAGTGCTCCCAACAACTACCGGCATAGATGTGACATGGACATTAAACATGATCTTTGTTTTGTCCATGTTCATATTAAGACCTATCCATTGGGAGACACTATTCAGGTTATTGAGCATGGTGCTTAGGTCCTCCAGCGATTCTGCCATAAGGAATATATCGTCGGCAAATGGAAGGTGAGTGATGTACTCGCCATTGATGTTAATACCGCATTCTTTCCAGTTCAGTAGCTTGAAAACTTCTTCCAATGCAGCGGTAAAGAGTTTCGGAGATATAATGTCATTCTGTATAACCAATACACCTCTCTGCATTTGGAGAGGTTTCGTACTCTGATTCTGTACTGGGATAGCCATCGTATCCCTACTCTACAAACAATTCAGCACTTCGATATACCAACAGTGAACTTGGCACCGCTGAAGGGACTGCAGCACCGGCCAAATTTCGACGGAATCAAAGGCTTTTTCATAGTCCACATACGCAAAGCTAAGTGGCAGATTATACTCCTCTGTCTTCTGTTTTAAAACTTCTCACCCTCCCTCAATCGCCCGCACTATACCCGTTGCCGTTAATCCCAACACTACCACCCCCAGCACCAGCACATTAGGCACGACACACCACTCTCGAAAATACAACACGTGTTTCGCCTCTACACGAGGCATCCTCAGGTGAAGTAGACTCTGCGTTGGTATTCTGTGAGAGCGTGGTCCTTCCCCGGTCGGGCCGACCCATTCGTTTTTCAACTATACTAGTAATATAGCTGCAGCATGGCTCTACCACGTATAAAATATTACAATTTATTTTTTTATTTTTTATTTATTTAAAAATTAATTACATTAAGTTCATTTAACAAATAAATTTAATGTTTTTATAAAATTTAAAAACCAGTGATATTTTTATCTATCCCTTTTTGCAATATACGGCCAAATTTGCAAAGAAGGTTTAGAATATGTAATATAGGCAAATGGTGATGAAAAGTAATTAAATAAATCTGGAACATTCTGTCCTTTTTATCTTTTAAATTGAAAATGCGTGGTAATGCATTATTTTAACTGATTTTACTGCGCACGCAGACATTAAGGCCTGAATTCCTCCTACGCTGACATCGGTTGCGTACGGTCGGTCGCGTACGAATACGCAGCAAACTACGCGTCGCTGTCTTCAGCGTCGTAGTGTGGGGCTATATAGAACACAATGTACGCGCGACCGACGTACGTGACCGACGTCAGCGTAGGAGGAATTCAGGTCTAAGGGTCGATCGGTAGGCAAACATGTTGTTGCCCATAAATCAAATTTAATTTGGGATAATTTCGAATAAAAGCAGAAGTCTTATTTACTCACAAAGCAATAACGGTATATCATTATTTATATATTTGAACTTAAATTTAAAATTTGGTTGCTCTTTGAAAAATAACCCAGTATAACGAATACATTTTTGTGGGTTCGCTTTTTTCGTTGAGAAAGAAATTCTTGTATCAGTATCGAGAGTTACAGCAAAACATCGCAGTTGTGGTGAATACTTAGCTCGTGAGAGCTTCTCCCTTTTACATTTTTTCTTAACTTGATGCTTAATAAGTTCTTTATGCCTATTTTTTCCAAAAACTATCCGTTCTTCTTTATCTTTCAAAGATTTTTCATCCAGATTGTGAAGATTGTTTTTTCTACCCAGCAATTTTTTTCTTTAAAAAAGGAGATTTAGCTTGGAGCCTTTTAATTATTTTTCTGGTAATATAGGTGTTGCTACATTTTCTTTTTCTTGGTGTAAGTGTAATGGTGGCAATTAAATTACAATTTTCAGATACATTATTTGACTGAGCCTGAAAAATAAATAGGCTATATTATGTTATGATCTGAGCAAATGACACTGTTTCTTGTGGAAGCCAGGTAAGTACTTCCATATATACCAACGTAAAATAGCAACTTAACGCTGCTGTGTTTCGTATGGTGAGTGTAGAGAACCGGAGACCCTTTTTACTGGAAACGAGGCATTCCATCTTAGTCCTCACGGGTGAAAACGCTGCATTTTGATTCGTAATCGATTTCGTAATCATATGCTCGTTTGTCACCCATATCTTATAAAAAAATCCGTTAAACTTTGATCTTTACGAAACCTGCAATAAATAAATAAAAAAAAAAAAAAAAACAATATTTACGAAGTTCACAGTAATTTTAATATAATGTAATAATACTCGTAAGTATTGTATTATATTTAATTTAATGCAATTATAATATTAAAGTGTATTGTAATAAAGTTCAAAATATATATTAAATAAATTAGTAATATACAATATTTTATTATATACAATATTAAAAACTACAAAAAAGAAACTAAAATATGTGAAGTTCGCCAACACGCATTGAGGCAGCGCAGTGGACATTTCCTTGGCCTAAAAAGGGTTTTAGCTGAGAGGGCTCAGTAGTAAAAAGAACTCTGTGCCTAGCATAGGGACTTACAAAGCCCTTTACTTTACTTTTGTATCGTATACATATGCAATATTCATCTTCGTTTCAGATACAGAAGGGTACCTAATGCTGACAAAAATATCATGTGGAGGCGACGAAAACGTAAAACATCTTTGTACATAGATAAAAAATGTTCTAGTGATTGGCAGTCATTTCATACGCCACATTTTCTATAGACTTTCGAACGTTTCAGATAGGGCAAAATAAAAAAATAATACAAAATATTATGGGAATGATTTATTAATAATATATACAGTCAATCAGGGTAACTTTGACAGATCATCACTATATTTTTTAAGTTAACTTTTACTATGTTAAATATGAGACAAAAGAGTTTACTTAATCTTTGCTCTCAGGTTGGTTTTCATACTCTCAAGATATTTAAAGTCTATAAAAATCATAAAATATCATAAAATATCAAAACCTTGCTATTTTCTTGTGTGTCAAAGTTATAACCCCTATATGGATAACTTTGATACAGATGAGATTTATCGCAGAAATCTTATCTTTTAAACATTTTATAGCTTCAGGGTAACATAAGTTTAAGTTTTTAAAAAAGAACATCGGCCAAATATGACCTGACCAAAATATGAAACGACCACCAATGATTGATACGTAAAAAAATAGTAACTTAGGTGTATATTAAATTACGGGGTTCAACTTATTTTATTGGAGCTGGTAAAATAATTTACCTTTGTAATGAAAAACCTTATTTCCTTACTACTTCTTATAGGTTTTGAACGCATCTAAACCCGTTCCGTTTTAATTTGTGGTACACGTTTCATCATAACACTACCATTATGCGTTTACTTTTTTTAAATACTAGATTTTATTGTAAATTTTTTATTTATTTTTATATAATATCATTTTTAGATGGAAAATATTCAGAAATAAGTTGCAAATGATAGGTTGACAGTAAATATAGAATGCACTAATACTTAGAACGAAACGTATTATGAGTGTCTCTATGTAGTCTGTGGTATTATGACAGGAGAGCTGTCAAAGCTTGAAAAGTAAATGCACCCAGAATATAGTGATCTAAAAAAG